GTCTCTCTTCTCCATCTTCCAGAATCCTAGTCAACATGGACAACAACATCATCCAACATTACAGCAACCACGTGGCCTTCCTGCTGGAAATGGGAGAGCTGGACGGCAAGATCCAGGTCATCCTGAAGGAGCTGTGAGGGCCCAGCCTCGAGCAACCCATCCCCGGGACTTCGCCTAGGCTATGTACAGCCTCTATTCATGGGTCAGCACTGTTACTTGAAATGCCTTTCTCGGATACAGGTCTGTCAAGCCACAAACTCAGTGGCCTCAGGGCCAGGGAGGGCCGATGGAGGTCCCAGGATCTAAGTGTTCCATCCAGGCTTGAACTCACTCCAGAGCTTCCAGCGAGTACCCATCCACCAGAGATCAGGAGTCCCAGCTGCCTGCCTGCCTTCTCTGAGTCCCCTCTCAGAGGCCCCAGGGAGTCGCAGTGCCCTCTCTGCAGGGCCACACCAGCTGCCTAGACTTGTTCTCACCCTGTATCCTTCCACCAACTTCGGACCAAAGATTTCTCACTCTTTGGCCAATTAACTTGGAAACTCTTGACTTTCAGAACAAATGCCTTTTTTAAGGACGCTGGAGAGGAAACCCTTCCTCACTGACTTCCTCAGTACAAGATGTAAGTCAGCATCACAGAGCTGACAGAAGCAAATCCCCTTGCCACCTACTGTTGTACACATTTCTTATTTACAGTTTTCATTATGTGATATATATATAAATATATTGTGTATATATATGCAACATTTTTTATGTTCATGTTACATTTTTATCATTTCAAAGATATGTATTTCATATTTCTTGGACTATTTTTTTAGCTGTTATTCGATCGTGCATTTTGTATATCATAGGATTTAGTAATAAAAGCCTACCTGTGCACACTTGCCCGGCTTCACGTGCTCCGTCCTTGTGGGAGTCTCCAGCGGCCTTGTCCCAAGGATGTCTTGTTCTGCACTTGAAGGCTGGGAATGAGCATAGCACTACGAACAGTGGTACTCACCCCTGACAGGCTATCATGTGGTCTCACGAGACTGGCTATCATGGGGAGATCCTGATGCTGGCAGCAAGGCCTGGAAAGGTGCACAGTGGCAATGATGAGGGAGGCCCTCACAGAGGGGCCAGTGGACACAGCCCGAGCCTGGGGTCCTTGCCACTGAGACCTGGGCCAACTCTGCCCCTACTCTCCAGACTATCATTTTCTCTGGATCCAACTCATACTAGCCCCAAAGGCAATGACATATCACTTCCCAACCGTACAGCAGTGACATCATATTGGTACCCTGTATACAGCCATGTGGGAATGTCTAGGCCTCAGGGGCAAGGGAGAACTACAAACCAAGCTTCATATTCTCCAGGAAAAGACCAAAAGGAAGGCCTGTCTGCCTGCTGCCTGCCTGCCTCCCTCCCTCCTTCCACCCTCCCTCCCTTTTCTTCCTTTCCACAGCCATCTCCCTAGCAATAAAAAGCACAGTGTGGCCCTCACTGGTCACAGCTGTCACCTCAGAACCTCGGTCTTCAGGGAATCTCAAAGACCCAGGATGTGGGGAAAGGTGGGCATCCTTGTCTTCAATCCTAGCAGCTCTGCTTCCTATGAATTAGGATTTCTTATATATCTGGACAAGACTTCAAAATTTTTATGTGTACAGTTGTTCCGCCTGTACATATGTCTGTACACTACATATGTGTACTTCTGTTTGTTTGTTTTGAAAGTTTAAGAAGCAAGATTCCTTGAACTTCCCAATTCAACAGAATCAGTGGTCAAGTTCCAACAGAATCGGTGGTCAAGTATCACAAGCCCTGCCTACAGTCAGCACTGGGATGCTGGCTACAGAGTGAGGAACTGGACTCAGACGCCACAATGACAGGATGCCAAAGGGGCCAGCAAAGCAATCAGATTTTAGTTTAATGCACTGGGAGATGGTTGTTATTGTTTTGCTGTTACTTATTAGACAGTCTCACTGTGTAGTTCAGGCTAATCTTAAACTTACTATCTAGAACGTTAGGATTACAGATGGGCCCAAAAATGCCCAATCTAAAATCATTTTAAAACTAAGGTCAAAGATCCACGATGAACAAAAATCTCAAGATTTTAAAGACAGGATCTGCACTATTTATGCTTCCTTTGCCTGGTGCTTTGACATGGTTGGTGTAGCCCTGCTCGAGGGACACTGTGGGTCATTCAGAGTTGCCATTCACCCCAGTTAGGTTCCCTGCTGCTGGGACACCCCACTAGGCAGTAGAGCAAAGGATGACATGACAATAGGGCAAAGTGACTGATCGTACCAAGCAATGCCAGCACTCCATGCTGCAGGGCCTTTCCTTCTTAGCTTCCTGCACAGCTTCTGCTCGGAGCAAGGAGGAAACCTGGGCAGAGGGTGGGGTGGGGATACTGGTAGTGGGAGGTAGGAGGTGATGGTAACCTCGATGGCATATTGGAGTCATCTACCTTGCCCTCTTCTCTAAGTCAGCATTCTGGATGAAAGCCTGGGCAACTTTTTGAAGTTCCCTAGGTGATCATAGGCTGAGGATCACTGTTCCAGAGAGGCATGGATACCCTTGGGTCTCTGTGACACATGCACACAGTGGAATCAGTATCCTCAGAGCATACCTGCAGCAGAACACAGGCCAGGTGCTGGCAGCCTCTTCATCTACAGTCTCCAGAAACCCACCAGCATATAAGATATGAGGGTTCACAAGTTAAAAAGTCCACCTGGCCCCCAAGGATAGTGTTCTACAAGCCTTGAAAAGGTCATTCCTGCCCTTGAGACAGTCAGGAGGCCAGGGATGCCATTGCGAGATTGTCATTCCCCAAAGCAAAAAGCTAGAAGGCTCGGAGATTCCGGCCTTTCCAACAGCTTTCTCTTTAGGAGGGTAGCTGCTGACAGCTTTCTCTTTAGGAAGGTAGCTGCTGACGGGTGGAGAGCACTACCTGTCTGCAGGTAACTGCTGCCTGGTGGATTTACAGCAAGAGAGTGAGGGTAAAGGTGGAAGAAAGAGAAAAGGGAGGTGTCCTGGTTACTACTACTGTGATGAAACACCAGGACCAAAGCAACTTGGGGAGGAAAGGGTTTATGTGGCTCACACTTCCACATCACTGTTCATCACTAACGGAAGTCAGGACAGGAGCTCAAACAGGGCAGGAACCTGGAGGCAGGAGCTGATGCAGAGGCCACGGAGGAGAGCTATTTACTGACTTGCAACCCATGCCTTGCTCACCCTGCTTTCTTAGAGAACTCAAGACCACCAGCCCAGGGGTGGTGGCTCCCACAATGGAATGGGCCCTCCTACAACAATCACTAACTAGGAAAATGCCCTACAGGGTTGCTGGCAGCCTGGTTTATGGAGGCATTTTCTCAATTGACTCATTGTCTCTCAGATGACTTTAGCTTGTGTCAAGTTGATATAAACCCCCCCAGCACTAAAGGAGTAAGAAGAGGGAAAGGAGGGAAAATTAATAAAAAACAATGGCTGAACCAGTGAAAGAAGCAAGATGACAATCTAGTGGGTATCAGACCTGGCTGCTCTAAGCATGGCTATCAGACACGCAGCACTGACACTGCCTGGAACATGTCTAAATGCAGGTTCTCTGCCACACTCGTGCACGCGTGCGCGCGCACACACACACACACACACACACACACACACACACACACTGAGTTTGTATCCTAACATGATAGCCAAGTGGTGTGTGTGTGCACTATCATTTGAGAAGCACTTGGGTAAGACAGCAGTGCATCCTAGGTGTAGCTAGCTCTGCCCCAGTCACACACAGGACTGTGTAGATCAGTGTGCTGCTGCATGGCTGTAACCCGGCCCTCAGGAGGCCAAGGCAAGAGGCTCTGGAGTTCAAGGACAATCGACTACAGAGGGAAGCCTTGAATCAAAACATCAGAACTCAATTTAAAATAGAAAAAGGAATTTAATAACAATGTCTGGATTTGAGTCTGGGCATGTCTGAAGGTTTAACTGATGGACAAAGACTCGCCCTGAATGTGGGTGGTACCATTATATGGACCAGCCTGAGTAAGACAGGAGCAAGGAGAAAGCTAGCTGAGTGCCAGCACTTGCCTCTCTCTGCTTCCTGTGACTACAGAGTGACCAGCCATCTCATGCTCACTCCTGCTGCCATATCCTGAGCTGTCCCAACCACCACACCGTCCCCACCATGATGCTTACACTGAGGAATTCACCCTTCTTTCTATCAGATATTCTGGTCAAGCAACGAGAAAGATGACTGATCCCATGCCCCAATTAAATGAAATCAGAGCTTTTGAGATTCAAGCTAGGCATGACCCTAGAGTGGGACCTGTGCCTGCTCCCAGGTAGCCTAACGAACATCTGGGGGTTGAGACAGAACTCTGAGCAGTTTGGGACATATTCAGAGTGTCGGAGGACATCACACAGACCACCCGAGCTCAGGGCTCAGCCCCAACAGTGAATTCTGGAATGTGTGGTAAGCCCCGCCCTTCTCACCACCTCCGAGTGCCTGCTTCCTGGTCTACTTGGGGAGACAGTCATTACTTGGTGGAGCATCATGATGACTGAAGAGGCCTTAAGTAACTTCTGGTACATTGTCAGCCTCTGGTCAATGTGACCCGAGACCAGGGGACTCCAGCCCAGCAGGTCCCTAGGATCAGTATGACCAGAAGCCCCCATGCTTCCTGGGTATACCAGACTATCTCATCATTCCAAAGCTCTAGCTTGCAGGAATCTGAAGTTCACAAAGAGCCCAGCTTCTGTGAGAAGCAAAAATTCCATTTAATTGAATGTTTCTTCAGCCCTTTCTTCCCACCTCCCCAATGCCCCCCCAGGAGAAAAGCCAATCAGGAAGCCAGTCTACATGGGAGGCCCATGATGCGCAGTTCCCAGAGTACTTCAAGGAATATGCCTTGGGAAGCTAACCCTTCCCAGGCACCCTGGAAGGAGATCTGGAGGAGAGAAGGAAGCCCAAGGGGATCCCGTCTAGAACAGCGGTAGACATAAGCAACACCTGGGGACAGAGAGGGTGTGTGATCAGTTTAATTTCATCTTGGTTCTTGGTCAGCTCTCCCTCTAGCCATTGCAGGCAAGCCATGATCTGTTAGAACCACTGTACGACTAAAAATTGATGCTTTCTCAGAACTGGGGTGGGAAGTTAGGAAGACGACAGAGACCAGGGCAGGCAGAGGCAGGGTTGGGGACCATGGTTCCAGGCCTCTAGCTTCAGCTGGGTCCTCCCTTGCCTGGAGATGAATACAAGTCCATGGGTGATGAGTGATTCATGACTGGTTTCCACGTTCATGCTGTGTAATAACCAGGCATAGCTGAGGGCAGGGGTGTCCAGGGAATAGCCTTGCGATTCTGTTGCGGGCACCTCCAGACATCCTGCCTCCAAGAAGTCAAGGACAATTGGAGGTCAGGGCCCATGGACCAGGCCTCAGAGCCCTGACTGATTCTTCTAAGCAAGGAATTCACCACAGGCTGTCTTGGCAGTAGGCTGAGGCTGCACATCAGAGTCCATGCTTCAAGATCCCTTAACTCAGGGCATAGGAGTCACCAAAACCAGCTCGGAGGCTGACGTGGAGGTAGCCAGAGAGCTCTCTACCAACTCCTTTCTATTCAGGAAAGTAAGGGGGACAGGGGTAGCCAGTCTCCAGAAGGCAGCTCCAGACAATGTGTGACCCTGGGCTGGGTGACAGAGGAAGAGTATGTTCTGCTGATGGGTGTCCGGGGGAGCAGGGTCAGGGGCCTGACTGGATAAGCCTCTCCCTGAGCTCCTGTGGCATTGTTATATCACTGGGATCCATTTGTTGTCCTCGTTGTAGAGAAAGGATTGCTTTCCTGGGATCTCTGGCTTGTATGTGGCTGAAGAGAAAGAAAGAAATGGCATCAAAAGACAGTGGTGGCTGCAGGGGCCTGGCCTGGCCTCAGAACTGGGAGGGGTGAGGGAGCCCTGCTCCTGTCCTGCAGCCTACATGTGTTGAGAACAGGTAAGAAGCAACTTGCATGGCTCTTTTGTCGTTGTTGTTGTTGTTAAGGGTAGGGGTAGAGGTCACCTTCAGGTATGTTCCTCTACCCCGCTCCACTTTTAATTTATTTTGAGACAAGGTCTCCCACCAAACCTTCAGCTCTATCCATCTCCATCCTAGGTCACAGGTCACACCATTGACTCTGGCTTTTGCATGGGTGCTGGGGATCCAAGCCTGGTCCTTACACCTGCACAGTAAGCACTTGGCCTACTGGGCCATCTTCCCAGTCCTGTTTCAAGGCTCTTAACTGTCCCAGGCTGGCCTCTGAACTGTGGCTTCTGACATTCTTTGACTCTTTGTAACTTCTATAACAGAGCTAATTTTACAATACTGCTTTCTAGAAAATGTGAAATGAACAATTGGGGTACAACAGTATTCTTGAAGAGAGGGTTTAAGTTGGAAGGGTTTTGTGTTAGTTCAAAACTTTCCAGAAAAACTGAAAGCCATGGCCATTCCAAGACATATTTCTCTAACAAACAAGTCTTGGGAGTCACAGTCCCAGGATCTCTCCCATGTCTCCTCAGGAAGTTACTGAAGGGAGCCCATGGGTCCAGGCAGACTTATGCCTGCTACAGGCACCACAACAGATGTATACACTTGCATCCTCCTAGCATACCCTCAGGATCATCTTGTTGGAGGTGACCACAGCAACAGGAATGGTCTGTTGGAGCACTGCCTTGGGGTCCATATTTCAGGAACCCCTCGTTGGAGCACTGCCTTGGGGTCCATATTTCAGGAACCCCTCATTGGAGCACTGCCTTGGGGTCCATATTTCAGGAACCCTTCGTGTGCATCATATTCTGACACCATTCCCAAAGGACCCAGCAAAACAGCCAGACCGAGAACCCCACCCATCCCCAGGCCTCCGGAGCTCTAGACATGGTTCCTGCACTGGTCAGGCGCTCTCCAGAGCAAGACCTCAGCCTCTCTGATCTGATTGTCATACATCTGCAAAACCAGAGCTGGGAACCTGGCCTCCCTTCCCCAGCATCTCTCTGACCACTTCCTCATCTATGGGTGAGAGCAAGGAAGGGCTTCTCTCCTGCCAGACTGATGCCTCTGGAGGCCAGCACCAGCCTAAGTCACCTTAGTGGCTTCCCAGAATGGGAGTGTCAACAGTGCTTGGGTGTGAATGACAAGGTGGCCACCTTGTCAGTTCTGCTTTCCAGTTCCTGTGCACATGGCGCATGCCAGCAGCTCTGGCCACTGTCAGAGGGAGGCAAGGGGGGCTCGAGAGAGCTGCAGATGGGTGGGGAAGCACAGAGACCACCCATCACTGTGGAGCGAGCCCCTGGGGATAGGAAACTGTCAGGACGCTAACTCTCAGGGAGATCTAGATGCAATGAGTAAGCTCCTCCAGCTCATCGGTCAGGAGGGAGGAGCTAAGTGGCTTCAGAGACCCACTCCTTCAGATGCCTCTGGAGTCCATCACAAAGAAGGCACACTGCCTGGAGACTCAGCCCTACCACAAATGCCCAGAGCAGTAGGCAGCCTGCCCTTCAGAACTTATCTAGCTTTAAAATTTCTTGTCTGTCTAGACTAGAGGCTTAGATATCTTTAAAAAGTCTTTTGAGAATCTTACAAATGCTATGGCCCTTTCCTTTTAGTACAATGTTACAATGTCTGGGGCTGGAACAATGGGACAGTAACGAGCCAGTCATACAAGCATGAGGACCTGACTTTAGCTCCCCAGAGACCATGGGAAAGCCAGGGTGATGACATGTGCCTGCCACCCTAACACTGACGGTATCAAGACAGACAGATGCCTCAGCTCACTGGCCAGCTGCCTAGCAGACTCTCTGAACTTTAGGTTCAGAGAGAGACCTTGTCTTCAAAAATAAAATGGAGGTGTTGAGATGACTCGGTGGTGTAAAGCCCTTACTAGTTCAGTCCCCAGGATCCACAAGTTGTCCTCCTACAGTCACACATGTTATGGAATGTGAGACAGACAGACAGACAGACAGAGAGGAGAGAAGACAGGAATGGAGGGGAGGGGAGAGGAGGGAAAGGAAGGGAAGAGGGGAGCAGGAAGGGGAAAGGAACAGAGGGAAGAGGGGAGAGCAGGAAGGGGAGGGGAGGGGAGAGAGGGGAGGAGAGAGAGGGGAGGGGATGGAGGGGAGGAGATGGAGGGGAGAGAGGGGAGGGGATGGGGGGAGAAAGGGGAGGGAAGGGGAGAGAGGGGAGGGGAGGGGAGGGAAGGGGAAAGAGGGAAGGGGAGAGAGGGGAGGGGAGAGAGGGGAGGGGAGGGGAGGGCTGCGAGGTGCACACTTCAGCCAGCACAGTCACTACCACCCAGAGCCTCTGGCTTCTTGGACCTCCCAGCCTTGGTTTCAAATCCAAAGCCCTCTTTACATTGAGAAACAAAGCATTTTAGCGCTCTGAAACTGTGAGCCCATGACCTGCTAAGCCATCTCACCCTTGTAACCTGTTTAGCAAACAGCCCATAAACTGTAGGTATTTGATGGCCTCGGAATGACAAACTGTAGCGGAAGATTTGGGGTCACAGTTCTCTGACCTGGACCAGGCAGGCTTGGTTTGGATGACAACACTGGCCATCGGCTGGTATTGGACACAAATGATGCACTGGAGATGAAATGCTTAGGGGGTCCCTCGTAGTCCACAATCTCATACTGACCAGGCCCAGGGAGAGGTGGCTTTGGGGGCAGAGGCAGAGGGTGGGCAGAAAAGTTCAGGAGTGTGCCTTTCCTTTAGAAAAGACAAAAGGAAAGATGTCACCAGAGCAGCCTTATGGGGGAAATGGTAGAGTCTAAAGAACAGGCGATACCTGCGCCCCCAGGCTTGCCGCCCCCCCCCCCCCCCGGCTCACACACCACCAGGCTCACCGTGGCCAGTATCTATCCTAGCTCAGTTGCTTGTGAGCCCAGGGTCTCCAGACCTCAGTTTTCTTGTCTATACAATGACAACCATACCTCACAGGCTTGTCAGGGTTGAAATGAGGTGTGCTACCTAAAACAAGGTCCTCAGGGCAGTGAGAACACAAACACATTTCTGTTATAGACACCTGCTGCAGAGCTCATTGGGAAAATCAGGGACCACTGATTGTCTGTGTTGACTGTGATCAACTGGTAGAGTCTAGCTGGAGCTCTGAGAACTGAAGCCTGGATGAAAGAGGCCTTGATGAGCCACTTGTGATGTCTGCATGGCCTGAGAAGAGGAGGCCTCATCCTGCCTTCCAGGGATTTGCTGTTCCACAACTGGCAGATTTCTATTGAGATTCCAGAACCCTGCTAGGTTCCCCTTAAGGCTGGAGGCAGTGGTAGAAGAGCACTGGGATGGAATCTAGAACTTCTACAGGGTACTCACCCTTATATTATAACTGTTCCAGACTGCTATCTTTCCCTCTGGAAAGGAAGTCTATTTTGTACAGCATCTTCACCATAAAGTCATTAAACAAATGCCTAAGTAGGAGGACCAAGCCTACCTATAAGTTTGCCCATGTGTAAGTTGAGAGGGTTAAATGAGAGGACCTTTGAGGACTGTCCCATCACCTCAACCAACAGTTAGGATGGTTACTGGGTGTCCAGCCATCTGGGGAGTCAAGTCACTGTGCAGGAGAAGGGCTGCCTCTCACCTGAGGCTTCTTCTGGGGCCTTTCCTGGAAAGGGGAGTGAGGTTCTCAGATCCCAGAACCCGGAAGGGACACAGTGCCTGAAAGCAGTGGGAGAGTCCTGGCTCCCAACACCCTGCTGACTTTGGGTCTCTCCCTTCTTAACTCCCAAGATCCAGGACACCTAGAGCTGTCTAGTCAACCTCCTTATTTGCTAAAGGAGCTGGTGTCCATAGAGATGGTAGCATACATAAAGTCAGACACAGGTACAAACTTGTGTCTCTGTGGGACAGGTCTCTCAGTGCCAACAAGTTGGAGACACACCATGACAGAGGTGTCTGGGATTCAGAGACACCTGCATGTAGTATGAATTCTACTCATGCCACTGACTGGTTATATCTGCAGCAGGGAGTGAGAACCCCTACTCTTTATAGGGAAGCTATGAAAACAAAATTAAAAGAAAACAGGACTGTGAAGCATCTCCCACAGAGCCAGTGCATATGCAGGGCTCACACCTCACACCAGGGCCACTCAGGTGTGGGGATGCTCCCCCTGCTAGGGAGGCCATGAAAAGCCACCAGCTCTGCTGGAGGCTTGAACCTTCTAACAGCTGGCTTGGATGTATTAGAACAAAGGTACCCACAGGAAGAAGGTAGAATGTACCCCCAACTCCGTATGGAGGACCTGGCTTTAGGGTGTGCTCAAGAGCCTTGCTTCTTACAATTAAATGCTACCTCACCCCTGCTCTAGCTGTGACTCCCTTCCTAAGGCACCCTGAGAAATTCCGTGTGTGTGTGTGTGTGTGTGTGTGTGTGTGTGTGTGTGTGTGTGTGTGTGTGTGTGTGTGTGACTGGCTACATTTTGAGACAGACCTGACTCCTGGAAGTCACAACTGGAATGAACCAACTATCAGATGAAGCCATTCATCGGTCTGGGTCACTCCCAAGCCCAAGAGTCCCACATTCTTTGGCAAGTAGTGCTGCGACTGACGTGTCCACTTGCCCAAGCAGGGGTAGCTGCTGGAGGCTGGTCGGGCTGGGCCCACATCACATATCTGCACGTTTGATTGGAACGGCCCCTTCCTGCAGTCTATCATAGTACTAGGGATGCCCCACCTCCGCAGCAGAATGCGGGGGTCTCCAGTGAACACCACCTTTATGTGCAGCTCCAGTCAAGAACATTGAGGAGTCTAGGCTGTTTTGGGCTGGGAAGTCCACAGCTAGTGCCACCTGAGTGGTGACAGTGAAGAGTGCAGCTGTGGCCTGAATGTCGCCTTCCCTGCCCCCCGGCTATGTGTCTTCAGCAAATCTGACCACCCTAGACTGTACGCTTTCACTCCTGTGTCTGTCAGAAAGGGAGTTTAAAAGTCCTGAACACAAATAAAAGCAAATGTCTGTAATCCCAGCACTCGGGAAGCAAAGGCAGGCAGATCTCTGTGAGTTCAAGGCAAGCCTGGTCTACAAAGCAAGCTCCAGGACAGCCAAACTGATATACAGAGAAACCCTGTCTCAAAAAAAAAAAAAAAAAAAAAAAAAAAAAGGTCCTGAGTGCAAATACAGGCACATGTCTGTAATCCCAGCACTTGGATGGCTGAAGCAAGAGGACTGCCACAAATCTGACTCTATAGAGAGTGCCCAGGCAGGCAGCCTGGGCTATACTGTGAAGCCCTCTTATGAAAACAGGAGTGCAGACATGATTGCCACTAGGGGATCCAAACCTGCACCCTGGGAGAGGTCAGCAGGGAACCTTCAGGTAGGGAGAGTAGGGAGGGACTCCAGCAGTGGGCACATGGGGCAGACATGGTAGAGAAGTGCCAGCCTCAGGCCTTTTGTGGCATCTGGGCTCCCTCACCTTCTCTGCCCCTATGGGGCTAGGGGCCTATGAGTAAGGCGACATCACCACCCCTAAAGAGTAGGGTAAGCAGAGAGCACAGTAGGCGTGTGTGTGTGTGTGTGTGTGTATCTATGTATGTTTGCATGTGTGTCTGTGTGTCTGTGTGTATCTATGTATGTTTGCATGTGTGTGTCTGTGTGTATCTATGTGTGTTTGTATGTGTGTGTCTGTGTCTATGTGTGTCTATGTGTGTGTGTGTCTGTGTGTGTCTGTGTGTGTGTCTGTGTGTCTGTGTCTGTGTGTGTGTCTGTGTGTGTCTATGTGTGTGTGTGTCTGTGTGTGTCTGTGTATGTGTCTGTGTCTGTGTATGTGTCTGTGTCTGTGTCTGTGTCTATGTGTCTGTGTCTGTGTCTATGTGTGACTGTGTGTGTGTCCATGTGTATGTCTGTGTGTTTGTGTGTGTGTGTGTGTGCATATGTGCATATGCACGAGTGCATACAGGAAGAAGACTCACCAGGAGGGCCCCAACAGGTGGGCGTGCACGAGTGGAGGTGAGTGTATAGAGAAGGGCACTCTGCAGGAAGGAGCAGCGTGGGCAAGGGCACGGGGCTGAGAGCAGTGCCGTTCTGGGTCTTTCTGGGAGGGAATGTGTGACTGAAAGGCCATAATCAGAGCTCCCTCTTAACTTCACATGTACAGGGTCTGTGGGGAAGTGGGGGAGAGAATAGTGAGAAATGAGAGAACAGCCTAGAAATAATGGAGGGACAGGGGGCTGAAGGCAGACACTATCATCTCAAACTGTGGGGGTGGGGGAGTGGGAAAAGAAGGTTGCAAAGAAGGTGATGGAGTCCAGACATCAAAAGCCCCCTTGCCCAGGACATGGTGCAATTGGGAAATCACAGGTGCAGTGGCCACACCCAGGATATGTGTGACCGGCGTGGGTTTGGTGGTTTAGTAACGGATGGAAACATCTATCAAGCTGCTCCACAGCGGGGATTAAGCACACTCCAGCTTCCAAGGGAGCCCTTTGTCAGTGGCTCAGAGATAATGGATGTCTTCACGGTCTCAGCAGGTCACTTGTAGAAGGCATCTAGGACCCCCTAGACACTCCCAGGCACAGCTTCTCCGCCTCAGGGATTCCCAGGTTTGGGAGGGATAAAAGGGCAATTTCTCACAATTCCTCTCCACATTAAAGGGCAACTGATTGCCTCTGGGGTGGAATGCAGTATCTATCTGTTCTTCAGGGTAGGGACAGTGACAGATGAGCCGCCTGAGAAGATGCATCCCACAGCGAATTGACAATCCCCGGGAACTTTAGGTGGGCCCAGCATAATTGGCTCAGCCTAATTATTGGATTGGAGCTGGGCCAAGGCGCTAGGTTCTCGGGCTACCCTTGACAGGATGGTATACCATGCAAAGCCGGAGGCTTAGCGACTCCAGGAAGTGGAGGAGAGGAGTCTCTGGGTGTTCCTCCACCTGGCAGCAGGTGGCACTGGGAGGACCCCATTCTCATCTCAAAGTCTTCACCGTGCCTTGCCCTGCCTCACCGAGTCACCCCCAGGATGGGTACTGAGGAACCGGGGAAGTGAAACTCGGGCTAACACTTGCTTCACATCTTGAGACAACCTGCAAGCCAACAACTCCTCCTAACTTTGAGTCAGTTGGGCAGCCGATGGCCAAGAACACCCACAATGCCTGCCTCAGCCACGTCTAACGAGGCCCAAGCACCAGCTCTGGCGTGACACTGTCCTACAGCTGCCACTCCAGAAAGCTCCTGGGTAGGCCCTCCTCATTGAGGCTTCCAGCTCTGGGCTGTAGGTTTGAGCCACCATACAAAATCACAGCTGTGTTCTATTTCAGTAGGATACAGAGCAGTCTCAAAGGTGATGAGTAAGAGCCAGATGCCAGAGACAGACGCTTCTCCCAGTTTGAACATTAGGTAATGCATTAAAACATCACACGGTCTCCATAAATACGCACGGCTTTTATGCGTCAGCTGGGAAAAGTAAGAACTGTTTCCAAGTTCTGCTTCATTCAGCCTCGCAGAGTCACAAAGAGGCAAGGAGAAGAGACTACAGGGAGGATAATGCCCGCCCCTAACCACAGTGCTTCCCAGGCAGACTAAGGAAAAGCTCATGGGCAGAGGGGACTCAAGGCAGCCTGAAGGAAGGAGTCTCTGACCTTTGGAGAGAGTAGCCATGACAGTCCCCTGCCCCAGGGCCTGGGAAGGATCCTGCGGAATCCCACAATGGGACCACAGAGGGAATTTACTGGTGGCCTCCATCTAAGCCTGAGTCTCTTCTGCAGGTCCTGTTTGACCTGACAGATTCCTGAGTAGCTGCCCAATGTTTCCAGCCCCCTGCCAGATGCCCACTGCAGCTGTGGCCCTGACGCCTGTCTTGCCTTCTTGGAGGGGCCCAGGTGTTCTTTCAGGGGACTGGGGTCAGGTTCCCAGTACCCACAAGACAGCTCACAACCGTTTATAGCCACAGTTCCAGAGGATCCATCACCCTCTTCTGGCCTCCAAGGGCACTGCAGACACATGGTGCACAAACGTGCATGCAGGCAAAACACCAATACACATAAAATAAAAACAAAAACTTTCCAACACAGTCCATCTCTCTCCACCCCCCGCCCCTGCTTTGATGGAGCAGGATCTGGCTAGGTAGCCCAGGCTAGCCTTGAATTCTCAATGCTCCCACCTCAGTCTCCAAAGTGCTAGGATTACAAGTGTGAACCCACCCACCCTGTTCTGTTCCTTTTTAAATCTGTGTTCATGCTAAGTCACCATTTGCACCTACTGTATGCCTGACAAATTTTCAATTCTGAAAGTAACCTTAAAAGGCATGAATTAAACCCGTTTAACTTCACAGATGAAGGCATGAGAGCTCTCAGAGTGTAATACACACTGCCCAAGGCCACACAGCGGAGCCGAAGTCCAGATCCAGCAGCTATCCATCAAGGCACCATGATGAGTGCATCCCAGCTCCTCCACATTATACAAGCAGAGCAATCGTGGTCCCAGGAGAAGCCGGCTTCACGGGTACCACAGAAAGATCCTAACAGCCCAGAGTCCTGTTGGCAGGATGTGAGTGTATGGACTCAGGCAAATCCCTCAGCCTTCCTGAAGCCTAGCTCCTTCCTCCAGGAAGCAAGTATGGTGATTCTACCATGGGGGAGGGGGGGACATGTTCCTAACAGATGCTACTCAGTTAAAATCATATACTCTCCAATGGCTTATTGAGTGTTGTAACATGGTAGCAGGGCCCCTGGACTAAGTCCTGCCTAAATGGTGCTCATTCTCATTTTGTCCCTTTGAGCATGCCCTGGAGCTACCTCAGAAAAAAAAAATGCAGGACTCACGGGATATGAGGCTTTTTCAGAATCTTGGTCTGATCGTTGGGATTGTAGTAACCAGGCCCTGGGCCTGTTGATGTCAGTTTTAACCCACGGCCAGTTTTGGATTTGAAGCAGGACACTAAGACCTTTGGCGATCGCTTCACCAGAGACTCGTTGACATTGTAATGGCCTGAACGGAGAGAAAACAGTGACATAGGATGAGACACTCTCTCCCCAGATCAGTGAAGCAGCACCTGCCACCAGCTCTCCCAGGTACCCCACAGCCGGCACAGTGACAATGTCACTTCAGTGGGTCCCAGTGGGTCCCACGAGAAGGTTGCCTCTGTGGGCTGAAAGCCAGGCCTTCCACTTGGATGACACATTTCAACCCGTGGGACTCACTGCAGCCTGGCCAGGTGGGTGGGTCTCACCCTTCCAACCTATACCCAGGACCCTGCAGCTCAGAGATAGGAATTAACTAGTCAGAGGACAAGCATCCAACCAGGCACCTAAGGAATACCCCAAATACTGCTGCAGCCCTATACTGACACAACTTCCCCTCTGTAGAGTAAACACTCACTCCATTTTCGGGGTACAGGGTGGTTCCAGTAGCTGAATAGTATCTTAAATGTAATGTAATGTCAGTGTGTGTGTGCACGCATGTGTGTATTATACATACATGTATATGCAGGCATGCATTCCTGTGTGCACACAAAGAAAGGCCAGGGTCGCTCTGCCATGCTCTGTAACTTTTTGTCTTATTTCAGATCTCTCACTGACCAGGCTGGTGACCGACAACCCCAGCAATTCCTGTCTCTGCCCTCCACAACACTGGAGTTATGGGCACATGTGTGACCACACCCAGTTTTTTTTTTAAATATAGGTAATGGGGATTTGAATTTGAATCCTCGTGCCTGTACAACAAGTACCCCTACCCGAGGAACCACCTCCCCAGCCCTAAGCAATAGATTCTTAATTTTTTATTTTATTATTTTTAGGTGTCCTTGTTTGCATGTGGGCACGTGAGGTAAGTGCCCCTGGAGGGCTCAGATCTCCTGGAGTTCTCTTGGAATTCCAGACACTTGTGAGCCACCTGAAGTGGATGCTGGGAACTGAACGTGGGTCCTCTGGGAGAGCAACAAGAACTCTTAGCCACTGAGCCACCTCTCCAGCTCTGCACAGTAGGCTCTTATTGAGAGTCCAGTGTGTGGAGAGCCCATACCCATGCTCTGTCTTAAGAAAATATTCGCCGGGTGGTGGTGGCGCACGCCTTTAATCCCAGCACTCGGGAGGCAGAGGCAGGCGGATCTCTGTGAGTTCGAGGCCAGGCTGGACCGATAGCCTCCGAAACAATACAGAGAAACCCTGTCTCGTAAAAACCAAAAAAAAAAAAAAAAAAATTCAAATCCACTTCACTTGTGCACAAAGTTTAAAGGCAGGGGAGATAATTTGAGTTTTCAAAGCATGTGACTTTGTTTTGTTTGAGTTTTCGTTTTAGAGATGGAGCCTCACTCTTTAGCCCTGACTGGCCCCGATCTTCCTGCTTTTGTCTTCTTGAGAGGGTGATTTTGTTTTAAGCAGAATTTACTTCTCCATTGGAAAAGTGATGACTAGAACACCGTGAGATGTCAGTCATCTCCAGGAAAGGCACCTGGGAACAGCTGGATGACCCCATGGGAACAAGAGGGACACTGGCCCTGTGCTGGAGGAGCAGTTTGGTCCCCATTCTGTTCTTTGTTACAGGGGACCCTGGGGACCTCTGTGTTGACTGTGACGCACCATCCCAGGGCTCTGTGGTCGGCTCTGGCTAAACTCCAAGGGTGCCAGCTTTGTTCTGCTGTATAAACAAACAAGGTGGGGCTTGGTGCAGGGGAGGGGGAGGGGTGCGCTGTGGCTGCACTGAGCCTCCTAATTAGTGATGGTTTTGTTGCTGGGCTTCAGCCTGCTCCTCTGGCTTTAATCTGGATTTGCTGAAATCTGACATGCCCTGCAATTTTCTCCACACCCTATGCCTTCCTGCCCCTCCTCTGAGTTCTGGGGCCCAAAGCTCCAGGCTTGACTGGGTAAGGCTGGAGGTCAGGCTGTGTGGACTCTCTGGACCCCTCTGCCCAGAGAAACAGGGTCAAGCTGCTGCTTACCTGGAGCTGGCCCTCCCGATGTGGCCAAGGGGAAGAATCCTCTTTCTGTTTTTGACAGAAACCCAACTCGAGCAGAGACATTGCTTTTTTGTTTGCAGGAAGGAATGGAGGCCTGTGTGGAGAAAACACATCCCATAGTTCAGTGTCTCCCTCCTCTGTGTCTTTGTCACCCTGCCTGGACAGGTGGCAAATATGAACCAAATTAAAACCCATCCTTCTTCTTCAACGTGAGTTGGAAAGATGACTCTGGCTGTGTCTTTACTTAACCTAAGTGGTCAGTGACACGCATGAATCATACAGGCACACACGAATGGACACACAGACTGTCATACACGCAAGCAGGCACAACCAAGGTGAAGCCAGAGGAGAATGGCTGGGAGGGGAACCTGTAGACTCTGGTCTCTGGCCCCTCTTCTGCCTGACTAAGGCTGTGTGGCCCTGCGCAGGTGGTTTAACCTCTGAGCCAGAGTTTTCTCTCTCTGTAAAATGCATCAGATGACCCTGACTCTGCCTGTTTTAGAGCACTGTTGTGGGCCAGGGAGGCCACCACAAACCACCTAGAGAAAGATGGGTTTGTTTGTTTGTTTGTTTGTTTGTTCTCAGTGCTGGGTTCTTGTGTGCCGTGGACCAGCTGCACCGTTGGGGAGGTGTTTTTACTGAGTGTATGGTGCAATGCTGTTACAATTTGTTAGCATTTCTTTTGCTGTCATTTTTATCCTTTCCAGGACAAGTCCTCATGCCTCCCAACCTGGTTCGTGTCTGCATTCTTCTCTGTGCAAACAGTACTTTCTAAACATGGCATCTGGGGTGCACTGAGTCCTATCTTTCAAGATTTTGATCAGGTCTGCCGTCACTCTCTTCTCTCTGCTTTTCTGGATGGACCAGAAGTTAAGAATTCTGACTGATCCACACAATATACAGCATCCCACGTGTTCAGAACTCTAAAAATGATGGGGGGGCAGGGAGAGGTTGGGTCTCTGGGGGCCTGAGATCATTCTTCTGTTATGCACGAATCACAAATATTTGAAGTGCCGATTTGTAGTCAGTCTCCTGTATTTGTTAGATAACAGAAGCAATAAAAATTGTGCCCAAGAACGCTGGGAATATTTGCTGAATGAGTGAAACTATTTGCTGGGGGGCTGGGACGGCTTGATACTCCCTGATACTTCTTTGTTTGAAAAAAAAGTTTCTTGAGAAATGCAGGTGGCATTTTGATTTTGTGCTGTCAGAGGTGGAGGAATGTAGCCTTTCCCAGGGTCCTGACGGTGGGTTACATGCAGAGAGCTCCCACACAAAGGCCAGATGGGCAGGCTAATTACTGGACAGGAGAGGACCATGCCCAGAGAGAAGATAATAACAGCCCCCACCGCAAAGGACTCCAAAAGAGAAGCCGGACTGAGGCTGGGCAAGTGGCTCAGGGCACAGCATGGCTAAAGGGATTATAGCCTTGGGGCTCCTTGCCTGATGCTGCCACCATTGTTCCCCGGGTTGGGGGAAAGCCTCCTGCAGACAAAACAGTTCCCTGGCTTTGTTCTTTACCCAGACAGAAAACCTGTGGAAAATGGGGCATTTTTGTATACCTACAGGAAGATTTCACCATTAGACCAAGAAAATACTCAGCAGGTAAAAACTGACCAAAGCTGAGTTACTGAGGCAATGTGGAGAGGAACTCCAGGTGTAGCTAATTGAACAATACACCTGGACCCTGTGCAGGGTGACTCCAAAACTTGGGAGGTTTGTGTGTGTGTGTGTGTGTGTGTGTGTGTGTGTGTGTGTGTGTGTGTGTGTGTGTGTGAAGACCCTGAAGGAACTACACCTGGCTCTTGGTGGCATTTGCCTTGGGAACCCACATTATAAGGGAACTGGCATGGGGCAGGAGGGAGGCTTCAGCGGTTAAGAGACATACCGCTCTTGCAGAGGACCAGAGTTTGGTACCCAGCATCCACAGCAAGTGACCCATTACTTACTGCCTATAACTCCAGTTCCAAGGGACTGATGCCTCTGACCTCCAAGGGCACCTGCACTAAGGTACATATACACTGCTCCCCCCCACACACACACACACATAATTTTAAAAGAATAAACTTTTTTAAGAAAGAGAAGTAGAATCACAAGGAAGGAGCTTTTACTCTGCTGGATTTCTACAGGGCTTAATAACATATTATTCAAAATATACATGTGTTATGTTCGGTCACCTTGAAATAGTCATTAACAAAATCCATGCACTCTATGGGATTGGGGGAATGACTTAGTCACTAAAAGGATTGATGAATAAACATAATTAATAATAACAATAAATGTAGACATCAATAGAGGAAGACACTGATGCCTTCACATGCACACACACACCACAAACACAGGAACACACACATGTACAGGTAGACACACGGTGCACACATATACCACACATACAGGTGTGTGTACACACACACAAGTGTACACACACCACACATGTATGTACCATGCATATACTGGCAGAAAACAAAAGATTCTGGTCTGGACCTTGGTCATTTGCAGAGTCACAGCTGTATGGACCCAGAGGTCACTCATTTGATGACAGACATTTATCACACGTTGTTAGTCCAGGTCCCCATGGAGCAGGGCATGTCTTGGAGGCACATAGAGGATGGAAGCTTCCAGGCAAAGTTCAAGCTATATCACCCTTCTGCTGCAACCAAGGGGACTGTGGAGGGTGCTCACAGGACCAGAGCTGTGCCTGTCTCCCAGGTGGCCAGGGGCTGGCTCTGAATGCGTGGATCTGTGCAGATCATTCTCCAGCCATACATTTCCTGGCTCCTGCCAGCCTAATAGCCTCCTCTCTGGAACCACACTACAGTCTAGAAGAGGTGTTCTAGAAACCTCCTAGGGTTATGTCCCACCCTTCCCAGTTCCCCTCAGGACTCCCCAGGGTACAGACAATAAAGTTCATACTCTCCCCTGGGGTCTTCAGTGACATGCTAAGATAACCACAATGAGCCCTGGAAACATGACTGATCCAATACTAAGACAGGCATAAATAACAAACGCACATCGAACTACAAAGACTCCAAAGGAGACAAGAGTCCTCCTGAAATATCTCATTAACAATCTTTTATCAGTACGTGGCTGATGTCAAACCAAAATAATATTTCAAAAGTTAACATATATAAATACAAGATGTTACAAAAGTTCATTTCACCAGCTCCTTTTTAGTTCTATACGCCACTACTAAAGTTTTCTAAATGACACAGCTCTCCTCCAGTTATACAGCCCAGCAGGCACCGCCCCTGCTCTGAGCACATTACAGTCCACTGGTCCACTCATATGCGGTGAGCTCTGTAGACAAATAAGCTTGACTTGCACACTGTGTTTCAGAAGAGGAACTTAAGAATGAGGTATCTGAGACCAAAGCCCTTTGAAATGCGGCCCCCTTTGGCTCACGCCTTCTGTATGGGATTGTGGGTCACACCCTGGATTTCAGGGTGCTCACGGGGGTTATGCTCTCCATGGTTTTTACATAGCCCCTAAAGCAGATATCCCCCAATTCCAGTGTATAGTCGAGGCTCCACACACCCCCAAGACTAGCCAAGGTTGGCCCACCCCCTACTCTGGGTTACTGCAGACCTGTGTGCCTGGTGCTATACTCATTCCCCAACCTAGATTGTCCCCATGAGTATCTTCAAGTCTGGAAGGTGAACACCTAGCCCCCACAGTACAGATCAACAACCCAAGTCCCGAGAGGGCTGGTGGAGCATGGGCAAGGCCCAGGGCACAATAGAGTGGACGCCTGACCAAAGCTTCCTGTCATGGGTAATCGTTTTGTACACTGTGAAGACGTGTTGATGTCTCACCTTGCCTGCCTAGGCGCCTTGGACTGGTTTAATAAAGAGCTGAATGGCGAATAGCTAGGCAGGACGGGATAGGTGGGACTTCCAGATCAAGAGAGGGCCTCATTCACCAGGCAGACACGGAGGAAGTGGGACACACAGTATGAGCAGGGGGCACGAGCTACATGGAAGAATGTAATTAACATAGACGGGTTAATTTCAGGCATAAGAGCTGGGTGGGAACAAGTCTAAGCTGAGGCTGAACTTTTGTACTTAACAAGAAGTTCGTGTCTTTATTTGGGAGCTGGTGAATCAAAGAAAATCAGACTACGCTTCCTGTAGGCATCCCTTCCCACCCATTCCTTCTTCTCAGAGTACTACCACTAACACACACGCACGCATATGCGTGCGTGCAGGCGCGCACGCACACACACGCATACACACACACACACACACACACACACACACACACACACACACACAGATTCCAGACACCTTGAATCCCAGCACTGAGTGGGCAGAGACAGGTGATTACATAGTAAGTTCCAGGACAGCCAGAGTTACATAGTGAGACCTTGTCTCAAAAAAACAAAAACATAGAACGAAACTGGGTTTCCCCTATTAAATTCTAAAAGCAAATGAATAGGGTCAGCAGATGAAATGGTACACACACACATATGTATGTATGCATGCACGCACGCACATGCACACACACACACACGTATGAGAGAGTAAAACACTGTCATGCTCTGTGAGAGGGGTGAGTGGAAGCAGTGGGCTTCCTGCAGCTCCCTGCCGCCCTCTACCGTTGCCCAACCTTCAGATTCTTGCCTTACCCTCAGTCACCCCTCTCTGTCCCCAACTTGTCACAGTGCTCACTGGCTGACCCTCTGTGTTAAAATGCTGTTTCCCCAAGCCTCACACACTGGCAACACAGCCTTTCAGCATGGGCACTGGACAGGGGCAGGTGATGCCCTTACATTGTAATGGTTCGGGGCAGGGGTTCCAGATCTGAGCACTTTCATGAAGCTTGGAAGCTGGAACATGCTGGAACAGGAGTTGCTGAAGTCCTTCTTGGAGACCAACTCTGAGCGGATGGTGTACGCATTGGCAGCAGGATACTTAGAAATGATGTTGCCCAGTCGGGCACACTAAGGAAGAAGGAAAAGAGTCAGCATTTCCAAGTGTCCTGGGGACCGTGAAGACAGACAAAAGAAAAGGACCGTGCCTGAGTCCATTGCAGTCCGACTGCGTGCTTGCTCGTTTGCCTGATTATTTGTTGAGACAGGACCTCGCTCTGTAGCCTGAGCTGGCCTCAGACTTGCCTGATTAGTTGTTGAGACAGGACCTCACTCTGTAGCCTGGGCTGGCCTGAAGCTTGCTGTATGGCTCAGGCTGGCCTCAGACTTGCCTGATTATTTGTTGAGACAGGATCTCACTCTGTAGCCTGAGCTGGCCTGAAGCTTGCTGTATGGCTCAGGCTGGCCTCAGACTTGCAGCGTTCCTCCTGCTTCATCCACCCCAGTGCTGGCATGCTGGGCACTAGTCACCATGCCCAGCTTACAAGCACTTTTTCCCAAAGAGGTGAGGCTATAGCAAGTAACAGTGTTAATTGGACCTCAGGCTTTGAGGGCTCATTCTTGGGAAATGCAAGTTCAGACCCATTCCAACTTCTGTAAACTAATTTAAAGTATTTGTCATCTGTTTGGGACCTGGAGAGAGTGATTTTCCCAGCGTTACATTTTCACTGCACCCTGCTCCAGGCCACTCCCACCACTCATCAGCTGTGGGGTGAGTCCCATGGTAGGAAGGGTTAGACTGGTCCCAGTGGTGTCTATAGGGAGCTGCTTCAGATAGCTTAAAGGGGCAGGGCTACTCAGGAATTCCTCCCATCCCCACCAAAGCACTGTTTTCATGCCAGGGGCAGTGGCACACACCTGTGGTACAGAATTTGGGAGGCAGAGACAGGAAGACAGTGAGTTTGAAGCTAGCCTGGGCTACACAGTGAGAACAACAAATCCCAGAATGCATAAAATCCCTAAAATACTTACGTTTTAACAGAACCAATTCCGCCCCTTCTGGAAATCGTTATAAACTATTTTGAGTTCAAAAACAAACACACTGTTTGCCATATGAATGGGGGCAAAAGCCTTAGAAACTCACTGATAACATCTCCTTACCCTATGACAGCATGGCTAGCATTAGGATCTGATAAACTCACTGATAACATCTCCTTACCCTATGACAGCATGGCTAGCATTAGGATCTGATAAACTCACTGATAACATCTCCTTACCCTATGACAGCATGGCTAGCATTAGGATCTGATAAACTCACTGATAACATCTCCTTACCCTATGACAGCATGGCTAGCATTAGGATCTGATAAACTCACTGATAACATCTCCTTACCCTATGACAGCATGGCTAGCATTAGGATCTGATAAAAACAAAAAAGTTCCCATAATTTTATGGTGAAAAGCTTGGGAACACTGCCCTGGGTTCTCTCCACTCAACAGAGGTCAATACCAGCCAGGCACAGGAAGTGGGGGAAGCCGGAAGCGACCTTTACCTCCCTCTACCCACTGCTCCAGGGCTGGGTGGAGACAGCTTTCAACAGTGGCATGGGGTGTGGTTTTACCATACAGGGCTGTCCTCATCTGGATTCTAACCGGGGTTCAAATCCAAGCTGAAGCTATAAGGCCCTTCAGTGTTCTCAGCAGCAAGGACTACGTCACTGGCAGCAGCCTTCACTTTCTAACTGCTTGTTTACCCAGGATTTGTTGTTGCCTTCCGTTCTTACAACTTAGAGCAGCAAACATTATGGCCATTTCACAGCAGAAGAAACTCAACTGCTAATAAAGCCGTGTGGGGCCACCGTCTTCAGCAAGGCAGTCTGGCTCCACCTGGTGACACGGATCAGATATGACATTTGAAAGAGAAATGGGTCAGGAGGTATGGCCCTGGAGGGACAGCAAATGTTTTCTACCCTGGCATCTTTTTTGCCTTTAGAGACTTACTGCTTTTATGTTTGGAGGGCGGGGCAGGATGGGGTGGGGAGGAGTTCTATAAAACGCCTGTGATGCCAAGTTCCCTGAGGCGTCATAATAGGATTAATGTCTGCCGTGCTCACTGTCCAGCTCTGCACCCTGCATTTATTTACCTGCCAGGCCTGCGGTCTCCAACCGGGACCCACACTGGCCCTTGACAATTTCTCCCCAACACATGCTAACTCCTCCAGAACCACCCCGACACTGTGCAGCCCAGAAAGACCACCCAAGTCCCCACCCACTGCCTCATTTAGCTTCCTGGTCAAAGTTGTAGAAGATTCTAGAACAAAAACTTGGAGTGCCTTGATGAGGTGCTTTATATCATTTAAACTCCTCAAAGGGTTGGGTGTTGCCCTGACAACCATCAGGAAGTGTGTAGAATTTAGAGGTCCATGAACATTTTTGGCAGCCTCACCCTAATCACATTCCTCTGGGTCCTTGTGATCTTCCTCTGAGGTAGGAGACTTTAATTCCTCGAATCTCAGGACCCAGAGGTGGAGAAAAGGCCCTCTGTCCCTCAGCTAGTTTGGACAGAAACTAGAGACCATGTGGGGTCTGCAATTAGGTATTACAAACCATTTGAGACCTCCTTCCCAAGAATAAAGCAATGCAAGTATTTTAAAATATAAAGCTGGGGCTGAGAGATGGCTCAGACATTCTAGCACTTTCCAGAGGAGCTGGATTCCATTTCTAGCACCCACATCAAGCAACTAAGACCTGCCTATAACTCAAGTTCCTGGAGACCTGACACCCTCTGCTGACCTGTGCAGGCCTCTGCACTCGTGTACACACACACACACACACACACACACACACACACACACTTCAAAACTAACCTCTGTTTTGTTTTGTTTGTTTTTTGAGACAGGTTTCTCTGTGTAGCCCTGACTGTCCTGGAACTCAATCTATAGACCAGGCTGGCCTCGAACTCATAGCCCCACCTATCTCTGCCTTTCAAGTGCTTGGATTAAATGTGTGTGCCACCACTGCCCAGCTTCTTTAAAACAAGAAATATAGGGGGCAGGAGAGATGGCTCAGAAGTTCAGAGTACTACCTGCTCTTCCAAAAGTCCTGAGTTCAATTCCCAGCAACCCCATGGTGCCTCACAACCATCTGAAATGAGATCTGGTGCCCTCTTCTGTCCAGCAAGCATATATGCAGGCAGAACACTGTATACATAATAAATCTTTTGTTTGTTTGTTTGTTTTTTGTTTTGTTTTTCAAGACAGGGTTTCTCTGTGGCTTTGGAGACTGTCCTGGAACTAGCTCTTGTAGACCAGGCTGGTCTCGAACTCACAGAGATTTGCCTGCCTTTGCCTCACAAGTACTAGGATTAAAGGCGTGTGCCATCACTGCCCGGCTTGTATACATAATAAATCTTTTTTAAAAAAGAATTCCATTTTTAAAAAGACAAACAAGAAATATAAAGCTGAAGTCTCACACCAGAAGGAGGTAGCCCCACATCTCCTTTCTTCTGGGTCTTTTTTTTTTTTTTTTTTAAGAAATAAGCGGTCTGGTTGGATTCTACACTTCAGACCTTCCCATGCCTTCTTTCTGGATGGACAGCCAAATCATTTGAAAGTCACACTGGTGAAGCCTAGCAGGGCCTTCACTGTGTCTCAATCCAGCCCCTTGTTTTACCTAGGAGGAGCGTTAGTGCGCTGCTTGGCAAAGGCGGTCCCGAGAGTACCCGGACGCTTTGGGCAGTCTGAAGGGTGACTCAGGTGATGACGGTGCTAGCTCATGGCCTGTTCTGCAATTTCAGAGTCTTTCTCACTGCAGTTTGCCCAGAGCCTGCAGGGAGTCTCTGACGCAACTGGGACACTGGAGGGTGACGTGCTTGAGGTCACATCCAGGCGCCACAGCTGAGTCAGGATGAAGTCTTCCCTTGGCCCGTGCTGCAGCATGTGGTGTGGCGCTTCACGGACAGTAGCTTTGGGGTCTTTTTCCTGACTGGGAGCTAAAGGTCCGGCTAGCCCATGGCTTTGCTGAGGGCTCAGAGACTGTGAGCCTACACTCCAAAGTCAGTCTGCTCCTGAATATTCCACTTGGCCAGCTCGACTCCCAACAAGAGGTGGCTGCGTTCCGTGGGCCTTAAATGTTTCCTTTATGTGAGAGTAATAGGCAAATTAGCCCCGTTGTGAGGCATCATATATGTCCATGCAAGAGACTGTCACCACCTTCACACTGGCAAGCAGGTACAGGTACTGTCCCACGGATGGTGGATTCTGGCTCTGCTTTCTCTTCGCTGTCCCACCGCAGGCGGCCTTGCTCTGGCTTGACTCACTCTCCCTTGCTGGATTCCCTTAAGGCTGAGGCCATAGCTTAGCGGTACAGCCATGGGTGCCATTCTGAGCACACACACATCAAAACAAAACAGAAGAAAGCTGTCTTCCCCCAACTTCACCCACATCTGCTCAGTCTCACTGGTCCTTCCTTTACGTGTCTGACTGCAAGAACCCTCAACAAAGATGAAGTCCCGTGTGTACCATGAAGATTCCTGTACTTCAGGTCCAGCCTCTCCTCTCTCTCTCTCTCTCTCTCTCTCTCTCTCTCTCTCTCTCTCTCTCTCTCTCTCTCTCTCTCTGTGTGTGTGTGTGTGTGTGTGTGTGTGTGTGCGCGCATGCGTTTTTAGTATCAGAGGTCTTCTCTCTCCTCCCACATGAGTCCCAGCAATCCATTTCAGGTCATCCGCTTTGGCAGGAGCACCTCCTATCCTAACCCTAACCCTAACCCTAACCCTAACCCTAACCCTAACCCTAACCCTGACTCTAACCCTAACCCTAACCCTAACCCTAACCCTAACCCTAACCCTAACCCTAACCCTAACCCTAACCCTGACTCTAACCCTAACCCTAACCCTAACCCTAACCCTAACCCTAACCCTGACTCTAACCCTAACCCTAACCCTAACCCAGTGCCATCAAACTGTCCTCTAGTTTCTTTTTTTGGTCCTTCCAATTTCCCAGTGATTTGAACAACCTAGTTATATGAAGCAGGACACAGCAGTTTCCCTGGCATACCTAAAAGCCTCAGGAAAACACTGCCTCTTGTACATACGACAACCAAGTTCTAGCTTTCTCCCTATCTGGTCCACATGCACCTGTGGAGATAAATGGCCTAATGACACAGGCTCAGATTTATCTCTGTGAATTCACAAGAACTGGCTGCTGTCAGTTGGAGAGAAAGGACCAGCAGGCCCCTGTGTCATTAGGCAATGGACAGAGGGAATCACTGAGCATTTAACACCCAAGGGTTCTCACCTCAGAGGGGAAAGTGCAGGTCCCTCTCTTGGAAAGAGAGACACTGTTGAACACTGGAGACTGGTGGGTGACATTGTAGGAACCAGGGCCCGGGATGTCATCCTGAAAAGGACAAGAATGCAGTGTCACTGGGCACGGCAGCTTCAACACGCTTTTCCGCCAGCTTCCATCCATTAACACTAAGCCTTCCTCTAATCCTACAGGACAGGCTCCGTCATTTTCAGGGGTGACAGCCTCACCCCACCATTTCTCTGGCTTGCCCAGTTGCTATCTCAGTTACCAATGGGAGGGGCAGGAATCCTAATCCAGGTCAGGTCTCCCAAAGCCCTTGCTCTTTCCACTAAGTCCCCTTCCTGAGTTCTAAAGAAGCATTGTTTGGGGGAGGTTTTGTTTTTCATGTCATTGGGGAAATACGCCAGTGTGCATGTCAGCCTCCAAGGACTGGGTCAGCCAAGCCCAAGGCAAAGGGAGGGTGACTGATTTCACGGTAACCACACCCACCTGACTCAGCTTCCTCCTGAGGCCTCTGAGAAGGGAAATTGGGGAGTGTTTCTGTTTATAAAGCAAAATGAAACAAAAACAACCTTCATTCCAAATGAGGCCCTCTTGAACTTGGAGACAGAATAAGGTGAGACCATGGGCCCCGAGGGCAACTTGAGACTGGGGTGCCAGGGAGCAGGCAGCAGAAGCTGTGTTCAGAGTTAGCTCTGCTGCTGCAAGCTACCTGAGCTTCCAGAAGCTTCCAACTTGTTTCTGGTGTTGGTTACTAAGGGACACCAGGGTTGACAAAAGCTGGAGGAGCAAGTGGCATGAAATGAAGTAATGCTTCCTTGTTGGGGCAGCTTCCTGGTCCTGCCCGGTGCTGGGAGCTTCTTAAAGCTCATCCTCATTTTCGCCATCACCCAGTGAGGAAGGGATTACTGTCCCCATTTCACAAATGGGTACATGCAGATGAATGTGTTCCAAATCCAAATGCTGAGCACATCGTGTGTGTCCTTGGAAGTATGTCACCAAAGCCACCCAAGGAAACAGAACCTGGGCCTGTGGGGCCATAGCCAGGAAGCAGTGAACCCCAGATTTGAGCACATGGGCCCAGATTCCAGCTTTTGTTAGCTCCACTCAGACAGAGATACATCCTAACTCTTCTGTCCCTGCTGCCTTACCTAGGCAGACAGCTTGAGGCACCACTTGTGCCTTCCAGAACTTTCCAGTCTGGAGAGTGGGGACAGAGTGATTGAAGTGATTGTAAAGAATAGAGGCTGGCTTTTGAAGCCCATTCCCTATAGTGGGATACCTTGCTGAGCATTGATACAGGGGGAAGGGGCTTGGTCCTGCCTCAACTTGGTATGCCAGACTTTGTTGATTCCCCAAGGAAAGCCTTACCCACTCTGAGGAGTGGATGGGGAACGGGGGAGAAGAGGAGGAGGAGCTGGGGTTGGCGTATAAAATGAAAAATAAAAATTTTTAAATAAAAAAAAGAATAGAGGCATAGGTACTGTGAGCAGACTCTTGGGGCTGAGTGTGTGTGTGTGTGTGTGTGTGTGTGTGCTCGTGAGGCAAGCAGAGGAAGAAGAGCAGACACAGCCTTGCAGGCCGAGTCAGAAGCAGGACACTGCAGGTCCAGGAGGGAAGGACCACAGAGGGGAAGTCAGTTCCGGTGCTGATTGCCCACTGTGCGCAGCAGCACACTGAGACCTCACTAAGTCTTCACTGGGAAACTGAGAAGATGGGGTCAAAAGAGAGATGACCTAACCCTGCCCAACCAGCAGAAGTCAGAGTCAGAATTTGAGCCCAGACAATCTGATGAGAGCATCCTAACCACAGACACCTACTACCTCTCAGATGAAACTGTATGGGATCAAAGAAAAGTCTTCCCCCAGGGTTGTGAATTGGATAGTCTGTCCTCCGAGCTGGTCAGCTACATGATCTTGGGTAACTTTTGCCTCACCGGGCCTCCAGGTGCTGGCATCCTATTGAGATTCCAGGGTCTCTGTCACTAGGGAAAGCTGCAGTAGGAATCATTGGGTGATACGTGACTAATCATAATAATAGTGATGTAAGTGTCCTGCCTGCATGTGTATATGTGCCTGGTGCCTGTGGAGGCCAGAAGAGGGCATTGGATACTCCAGTGCTGGAGTTAGAGACAGTTGAGTTGCCATTTGGGTACTGGGAATCAAACCCAGGTCCTCTGGAAGAGCAGCCAGTGTTCTGTCTGCTAAGCCAGCTCTCCAGCCTCTGCTATGTGATTCTTACAGGTACGAACAGTGGGCAGGGAAGATATATCTCTAGCTTGTAGTCCATCTGCACACGCCCACTGCTCTGACTCAACCCACCCAGTCAAATTAGAATGGCAACAGCAATAGCTGTTTTTGCTTAAGTATAGCCCGTGAGGCATTTGGGACATACTTATGCTAAAATAGTTACCTATCTGCAATTCTAATTCATCCAAACATCTGTGCTTTCCTTGGCTGAATCTGACAACTCTACTGGACATCCAGCAGCTGGGTCAGACTGTAACATGGCTGGAGTCCCAGGCAAACGGGAATAGGGCTGACTCTGTTTAGCCTCTGGGGACAAATTTGCTCTTGAAGAGGGTCTAAAGAAAATCTCTTGGGAGAAGCATGCTGGAGCTGGCCTGTGAAGGGAACCATTAAAACCCCACAGTGGTCACTGAAATGGGTCACCAGAGGCATGTTGACACTGGAGAAATTACCAAGGCTACGAGGGAGGGAAGAGCTGGATTATATAACACTCAGAAGGACTCCACAGGTGCAGAGAACCCAGCCACAGAGGGTCGTTGTGAGGCTGCTGGACACACTCTCAGGGTGGGCAGTATAAAACCAGGTGTGAACTCAACCACCCCTTGGTCTCTTAGATGAGACACTTCCAAATAACCAGAATAGAAGTAATTGCCCACCAGTCACCTCTGAGCCGAGACCACCTTGTGAATGGGACTGAGCAAGCAATGTTTGGTAGATGTGTTCCCTCCTCTCACCCAACACACAGCTTGGGTGACACCTGGAGAACACTTTGGACTGAGAGTCTCCGCAGGTACCTGACGTTGGGATGGGCCTGAAGAGGTCATAAGGCCAGCATTCAGCTCCTAGGCCACAGTATCTCCCCAGCTTGCACCTTCCATTTGACATCATCAATTCTGAGTTAATTTGTAAACATAACCTTGCAGTGTTTCATTGCAATTTAAACTCTGGCCCCTGTTTGGGAGGTTAGATCTCCCATCAGACCCTGTGCAGAAGTACCAAGTTAGTTAGCTAGCTCTATGCCAAGCTGGACTCAACTCACTGTACAACCAAGGATGACCCTGCACTGCTGGGACTAGAGTGGCAGGCATGGGCAAGCACACTCAATTTCATCATGATTTTATGAGCCACCGTGGCAGTGATGGGGATGGGGATGGAGATTGAACGCAGGTCTTCTCCCAGGGCAACAAATACTCTAAAGCACTGAGCCATCTCTCCAGTCCCTTCATCAGGCAACCTAAATGACGCCACTCAGAAGACACAGTGTCCCTGTCCTAGCAGTCTGTGGTCAAATGGAAGGCAGCAGGTTTGGTATCGTGCAATTGTCACGCCCAGGAAAAGGAGTCTAGTGTAACATTCTAATTTTTAAGAGGAGGAAACAGAAGCAGAGACAGTAGGTGGGGAACTTACAGTTCCATAGCTTGGGAAACTGGGTGAGATGGAGCAGAAGTTGGGAGACAAAGGGGAAGAAAATGTCCAGTGGGATGCTGGACAGGGCTCTGTCACCTAGAGGCATGTCTCCTCTGGAACCTTAAGTTAGCAGCACACTTGTAAATAATTACAAATTTTATTCCTAGCAATCCAAATTGCCAATTTAAGCACAAGTCTGTGCAGGACCCTCACACTCCCAGTGATGAGATTCCTTTACTTAAAGAAAAAAAGTGTGTCCCAGTGATGAGATTCCTTTACTTAAAAAAAAAAGTGTGTGTGCAAGGGGTGTGCATGTGCCACGGCGTAGAGTTCAGAGGATAACCCAAGGGAGTCAGTTCCACACGGATCCCAGAGATTGAACTCTGATCACTAAGTTTTCCAGGAGATACCTTGGCCCCCTGAGCCGTCTCACTAGTATCCCAGGGGTGGGATCCTTACAAGGAATATTAACTGGCCCTGAGGGGCGGCGGCGGCGGCGGCGGCGGCGGCACGGGTGAGTGCCTGCCTCTGAGCACACCACAGTAAAGCTGGGCTAAGTGGGTCACAGCTCCAAGGCTGTGATGACCGGGTGTGGCCTCAGCACAGGGCGTGTGCACCTGCTGTCTTAAGAAGGGCGGCGAGGCAGGGGAGGTTTCGAATCTGTTGTTACTGGTATTGTCTCACTAAATTACTGGGTGATGCCGCGCAAGCGCATTACTTCTCCACGCTCATTTCCCCCGGGGGAAAACGAGCAGAGCACGGAAGGAGTGGATTCTCTGTGTTTAGGACATGGGGAATTATATAACTCCTCAGTAATTACACAACCTTTCCAAGGTTCAGATGAAGGCTTTCCCATCAAATGGATGCAACCACATTGGAGAATTTGTGACCAAACTTCTGAATGGTTTCTGCCTTTATCAAAGCAGCCTGCCGTTCTGGCTGGTAGCCACGAGGGCTCCCTGGGCAGGAGACATGAAAGGATTTCACATGGTACTTTGAGCTCCTGGATCACAGTCCCCAGAGGGGATGTCCCCATGTGGATGGAGCCTCGGCAAGGGGCATTTGTTGCCCTCCCTCCCTGGAGAGCTGTCTGTTTTGCCAAAGCTGTTTCAGAAGCACGCTGACTTTCATCAACCAAATTTACAGCCTGGAAGGCCACCAGGGCAGGTGTGGTCCAGTGTGGAAAGAGCGAGAGGCTTTGGGGTGAGCTGCGCCTGGGTTGAGGTCTAATTCTTTCAACGTTGATTCAGCAAATATTTATTTAGAGCCTCTTACTGTGGCAAACCCTAGGCTGTGTGGGTGGGTCACTTAACCTCCCTAAGCCTCGGTTTCCTCTTATGTTCAGTGAGGACACCAAACCCTTCCTTTTAGCATTGTTCTGGGGAGCAGTGATACAATCTAAAAATGCTTTAACACATAGTAGGGATTGGTCAGTGACAGCTACTATTCTTTTTATTGGCAACTGAGCTTTGAACACCCCGGACACGGACAACTAACACGCTGTCGTTAAAGTGATCAATGAGAACACACACAGCAAGTGGGGAGGAGACTGACAGCTAAGATACAGAGAAACTAGAGAAAAGGAAACAAGAAAAGTGCCTGAGCAAACATTTATCACGCGGAGGAAAGCTATGAGTGATTCTAAAATATGCGTATGCTGTGTTACTTATTGCGGGCTTCTTAGAGTCCTGAGGTAATGGAAGGTTAAAAGAACTTAATCCACTCTCCAGTTCCTCATTCCAGCTCACAAAGAAAGAGTTGGGCTTGGGGTGAGGGCCCTGCGAGGGGTGGGGGCTCAGTGGCATACCTCACCTGTGTTCAGAACCCTCCCGCCCTCCTGCCCTCCCGCCCCTTCTCTGCCATCTAGGGAAGGTGGGAGGACGGCAGGCACCCGCAGAATGCAGCAGCAGGTAACTGGGACGGCCACTTCTCCACTGGGGACCTACTTAAAAGAAGGACAGGTGTGAGGTGGTTAAGACGCTGCCTGAGAGCCTGTGAGATGCTACAGCCCCCTGCTGGTGAGAAAGGAGAAGGCCAGACCCCATGAATAAGTTAAACAAAGGCTGGCTGGGAAACAACCAGAACTTCCCAGACTTGGAGATGCAGGGAAGCGGGATACAGAGAGAGCATGGTATAGCATTATTTTTAATTGCATTTATTTATTTACCTGTGTGTGTGCACATATCATGGCATACACGTGGAGATCAGAGGACAATTTAAAAAGTATTAGCTGCTCTCCACCATGGGGGGTTCCAGAGCTTCAGAGCTCAGGCTGTCTTATCAGCTCCCGTAGTAATAATAAGACATTGTTTAAGGAAATTAATTTTATTTGTATTGTTGTTTAAGGACATTTTTAATGGGGGAGCTCAACTAAAAATTCGTTAGAAACTTTTACCCATGTGAGATTATGTAATTCCCTCTGATAGATCAGAGTGGGGTGGTTTTTATCTTCTACTACATATACATAGGACTTAGAAGATCTTGTGGTTTTATTATTTTCAAATTAAAAATAATTTTGACTACACGGTGTGGTTGCATATGCCTTCAATTCACTTACACAGGTGGCCAAAGAAGGAGAAACCTGAGTTCAAAGCCAGCCTGGGCTATGTAGCAAGACCCCTGGTTGTTTTCCAAAGATATAGTATATGCAAAGTCCTGGGGTGAATCCCCAACACAACAAATAAGTAGACTGATCGATTGATTGATCAATCAATCAATTAATTTCAGTCTGTTTTTTACCATACTGACATCCTCCTTGGAGGATGGTACAGCTCTTCAGGTGATACTGCCCCTGCTGTTCAGAGAGAAACACAACAGCTGAAATCCAAGCAAAGAATTTTACCTTTTTGTGATAGAATCTCCTGGCTTGGCTGTTAAATCCCTTTTTCTCTGATTCTGAGATTATTGACGTTCTGTATCTACAAGGAATGGAGGCTTGAGTTGGGTATGCAGCGGTAAAACCTAAACAACAAAGATGAGACAGCCATCAGCGCACAATAATGGTGTTTGCTCAGTGCAACTGTTAGAAAATGCTGTAAGGAGTCATCCTAGGCTCCGTTGGTAGAGTATTTCCCTAGCATGTACAAAAGACCACATAACACCAGGTGTGGTGGCACACACCTGTACTTGCAACACTCAAGAACTGGAGGCTGGAGGATTAGAGTTCAAGGTCAGCCTGGAATATATGAGACATTGTCTCAAAAAAATAACCAAACAAAAAAAGAACTCAATATAATCAGTCCTTACTAAGGGCCACAAGCGGGGGTTCTGCTCGCCTTTCTGACACCAACTTGTCCTTTTTCTATTTCTTCCTCTTGGGTTCCGGTCAGAACAAAAGTGATTATTTAGACTTCCTTACTCTCTCTCTACAGCATGTACAGGCACATGCAAAGGCTCTCTCTCTCTCTCTCTCTCTCTCTCTCTCTCTCTCTCTCTCTCTCTCTCTCTCTCTCTCTCTCTCTCTCTCTCTCTCTCTCTCTCTCTCTCTCTCTCTCTCTCTCTCTCTCTCTCTCTCTCTCTCTCTCTCTCTCTCTCTCTCTCTCTCTCTCTCTCTCTCTCTCTCTCTCTCTCTCTCTCTCTCTCTCTCTCTCACCACCTGACGACATGCAGCTGAACTCCATGGCCAGCGTGGCATCTTCTCCTACTCTTCTCTGTTCTCCTCCTGGAAACTGCTGAGATTTACACCTTGTTTGCTTGTCTGCTCTGGGGTTTTTCTTTTAGGCTCCAATAAAATTGTCCTCTTTGAATTAAAAACAAAAGTTCAATAAAGAGTCAGAGAATGGCTCAGTGGGCAAGGGCTCTTATTGCCAAGCCTGACAGCCTGAGTTCAGTCCCCAAGAACCCTGTGGTGGAAGGAGAGAACTCCCAAAAATTGTTCTGTCACCTTGACATGTTCTTTATGGCGTGCCCATATAAAATAAATAAATGTAATTTTTAAGACTAAAATAGGGACTGAAAAGATGGTGCCAAGGTTAAGAGTATTTGCTGCTCTCCCAGAGGACCCAGGTTCAATTCCCAGCACCCATATGGCAGCTCACAACCATCTGTAACTAAAGTTCCAAGGGATCCAACACCCTCTTCTGGCATCTTCAAACACTGCATGAACATGGTATAAAGAACCAAACATAATATAAATGTTTTAAAATTAAAATATCCAATACAAAATAATGAACAGATGGGACAGAAAGCAAATCATAAACCAAAAGATTTACACTTAAACGTTCCTAACCACATTAAACATTAAGTGATCTACACATTCCAGTTAAAAGATAGGAATTGTCAGACAGGACGAGAAAGAAAGATCCAACTACATGCTGCCTACAAGAAACACATTTCAACTATAATCCTAGAAAAAAGTAAAAAGAATGAGGACTTGCAATAAGAATTGTCAGAAATAAAGCAAGCAAGACCTGTTACACATTTAAAATATAAGAACATGACTCTTGTTGGACACATGGAGATAGCTTGTTATCTTTTTGTTGTTGAAGGGACAGCCATCTTCCCATTCATCCTCTCTTATAGTTTCTTCCCATCTACACTGTAGGGTCAGCAGGGTCAAAGGCAATTCATTTGATACACTCTTGAAGGATGCCCTTGTGGATAACACCCAGCATCTACTAATCCTTCCAACTGTGCTCTTATGCATGAGAGTGGACATGCTGAGATTTAAATCCACTAGACCTTTCTGTATTTTGTCGACATGCTTGTTAGTTTTGCCAAGGTCTTCATCTTTCAGGGCGTTGTCCGCGTTAGCAAAGCTCTGGGGCATGTTCCGTCTGTTTGAGGAAAACCTCAGCCATGCATTCTTCTAAACACCTGAAATAAGATAAAGCATTTACAGGAGCCTTTCACACCATGGTCAGCTCTGTGCTAGTGGTGTGTTAGGTTGAGAGATCTTGTGGGGCAGAAACTCATCCACCAAATGCTGTGTCACCCCAGATTCCAAGCACACGGTACTGACAGAATTTAGGAGGCCACACAAGTTCACCCTCACTCCGGCATACACCCACTGAGGCTTTAGATATTATTTTCATTATCAACCTAGCTTGGCCGAGATATAGTTTACATGCAATAAAATTCTTCAGTGGTAAAGGTATGAGTCTAAGTTCTGACAATGTGGGAGGTTGTGTTCTAAACCACCACAATTAAGAAGACTTTAATGTTATCCAAAGTCCGCAAAGGTCCTGTGTGCTTCTGGCATCATTCCCCTCTGGATCTGGCATCTGCCAATTCCTGAGCTTCCTGTCACAACAGCTACCTTTCCACAATGCCACACAAATACTACCATCAGCAGATCAGCTGCTATGAACACAGTCCTCCTAGGGCTGGTGAGGCAGCCCAGTGGTTAGAGCATTGCTGCTCTTGCAGAGGACCCAGGTTCACTTACCAAAACCCACAACCACCTGGAACTCCAGCTTCAGGGAATCAGATGCCTGTGGCAGAGTATTATTTAATGGGTGTTACTTTTGTTTATGATGCAAAGATGTGTTTGATTAGATTAAAATTCACCTGCAGCCAGGATGCTGGGTCAGCAACCAGCTGACAGGAAGTTGTAGAAGTGGAGAAGGGTTTATAAGGAGGGCCAAGAAAAAGCATGAGGACTTCTTGGGAGACTCGAAGGGGTGAGCTGGGTGAGCTGCTTGCTATCCAGCATCCCTGGGAAGCAGGATTCTACCTCAACCTTTGGACCTTGGGTTCTTTAGTGGGACAGAGATTTAAATAAGTTCCCTTAGTAGCTTTAAGAGAGTTGGTGCTGGTAGCGGTAGAGTTGCAGTTTCTGACTAGAATAGCCATAGCTTAAAAGGCAGCAACAATTAAAAAAGAAAAACCAAAGTTGCTGTTTTCTGGTCTAAAGTCTTATATATGTAGCTTATCTTTTATCATAACTAAGGAAAATTATAACTATAACTATCTGTCTTCAACTCCATCAAAGACCACAGAAGGATAATATATAAATACTAGAATTGACGGAGACATCTTGCTTCCTGGACAGTTCCTCTGTAACACTGGGGCACCCATCTTCAGCCCATAGGCCACAGTGTGTCTGGCAGACTTCTCTGTGAAGCAGGAAATGTTAAACTGTCCGTCTGCATTGGCAGTTTGTCAATCATTTTTCTGTGTCCTGTAGACTGTCTGGCAGACTCTTCCATGAAGCAGGAACCCTTTAGGACTGTCCCATCAAGTTTAGCAGTCATTTTTCTGTGAGTCCTGCATGCCCAGTCTACCAAACAATAAAGGCAAGAGCAGTTTCTTGCCCAAATGACTAATCTTACCATGTTGAAAGCAAACTCCATAACGAGTTTCTTCAATGCCCATCTTCCTCTCAGACGTAATTGGTATCAGTAGCAGTGTGTATCACTATCATGAAAAACCCTAAACCATTTAAATGCCATATATTCTTTAGGTCTTTGAAAGGTTTGAAGAATATCTATCCATCTCAAATACATCTCTGTATATCTAGAAAACATAACTAACTAAACTATAAGTTCTGACTATTATAGGTGACTATATATAATCTGTACTTAATTATGTATTACATTTTAAAAGATCAATGTAAACCCAGTATTTAAACAAGAGGACCTTAAATTTGTATCAATAAATGAAAATCTGTACCAATATAAAGTATTCATTTCTATATCAGGTTGGTTTTTTGAGATAGGGTCTCTCTGAGTAGCCCTGGCTGTCCTAGAACTCACTCAGTAGACAAGGCTGGCCTTGACTCAATTTGCCTGTCTCTGACTCCCAAATACTGGGATTAAAGGTGAGTGCACCACACTGGGCTAGAATTTCTGTAGTTAGTGCTACTTGGTGGTGATGTAGACATCCACATCTATGCACATGCCTATTAGATAGTAGTTTTCTTCTACTTTTAAATTTTTGTCTTTGGCTTTTGCTTCACAAAATGAATTTAAAAGTTTATTTCTTCTTTTTTTCACATTACAAAGGACAACGTGACAGAGTCCATTCTCTCTTTGCCCATACAGTTCCCTGGGATTGAACTCAGGCCACCAGACTTGACAGGAAGCACTTTTACCTGCCATCTTGCCCACCCTATTTCTCTTTTTATTTCCTGGTATTGGCATTATTTCTTCCTCAAATGTTTGCTCAGACTGATATTATTTCTTCTTTCCATTCCCAAATAGAGTCAATGCCGGATGTTTCCTTGAGAGAAGGTTGTCAATAACTAAGTTCTTTTTGCTTAACATACACAGGGCTTTTCCTGCTGCCTGTTTGTTTTGCATTTTGTTTGTTGTTTATTTATTTTGGCTTTGTGAGACAGGATTTTTCTGTGTAGTCAGTTCTGTAGACTAGGCTGATCTCGAACTCAGAGATCCGAGTGCTAGGATAAAAGGCGTGAGACACCACCTCCTGGCCAGTCTGTTTCTTCTTGAGGGAGCTTTGGTAATAAGCACCTTACAAAGAAACTCTTCCATTTTCTCTTCAGCATGAAGTTGTTGGTCATGGTCTTTGATTGTCCCTGTTCCTTTTGAGACAGGGTCTCTCACTCTGTTGCTTGGCTGTGTAGACCAGCCTGCCTGTGCCCAAGTGCTGCGTTTAAAGGTGTGCACTCCTACACCTGGCCGGACTGTCCTTTTAATATCTGTGGAAATGCCCCTCCTTTATTGCTCACAGAAGTGATTTACATTTTATAGACTTTTGTTGGCAGGCATGACCAACCATCCTTTCAAGAGCAAACAGCTTTTCCATGACCTTTCTTTCTTTGGGTTTCACATACCCTTTTTTAACTCTTAGAAGAAAACCTGGGCCAGTAAACTCAGACCTCTCCTGCCATTTAGTAAAATAACAATATTTACTATTTTAAATATATCCATAGGTGCAGTCTTAATGGCATCTCATATATTTTAATGTGTTACATTTTTATTTTCCTTTTCAGGTTTTGTTGTTGTTGTTTTCAAGACAGGGTTTCTCTGAGCAACAACCCTAGCTGTCCTGGATCTAGTTCCTAGACCAGGCTGGCCTCAAACTCCCAAGTGTAGGAATTAAAGGCAGGCACCATCACCACCCAGCAAATGTGTAGCCTAGGCTGGCCTTGAACTCATAATCCTTCTGCCTCTGCCTCCTTCAGCAAATCCTACAGGTGTGTGCCACTATGACAGACCAGTTTGTTTTAGAAATGTAGCTGTCTGCTTCTTAATTTCCAAGCAGTTGGAGACTTCCCAGATGCCTTCCTGTCGATTCCTCTCTTTTCCTGTATTGCTGGACAGTATTTTGCACAAGTGCCAACCCTGATCAAACTGCTCAGCACTGGTGTTCAAGTTTTTTATGCGCTGATTTCTCGTGTATTCAGTCAGGACCGAGGGATGTCCCTGTGCCACATCATGGTCAATTCAACTCACCTGTATTCTGTGTGTGTGGAAGCACATTAATGGCTACCTGCACACATATGATCTATATGGACATGCCTCTCTTTATCCCTGGCAATATCCTGTTCTCCATTTCTTACTAACATAGCCCCTTCAGCTGTTACTGTTGATTAATATCTATACCTTTACTGTTGATTAATATCTATACCTTTACTGTTGATTAATATCTATACCTTTTCCCAGCCTTTTGTTTTGAACCAACTGTGCCTTCATTTTGAAAAGTGGTTCCTTTTCTCTTTTTCACTGGAGATTTACAGGACTTTACACTGGGCTATAACCCCAGCCCTAAACGTGTCTTCCTATTGTTTTGGTGCTGAATCAGGACTTTGAGTATGCCGGATACACGCTTTGCCTCTGAGCTACATCCTCATCTCCTGACCTCCATGGCCACAGAGAAGAAGCACTCTGTAACTCTGACCATCCATCCTCTGTGAGCGGTGCCTTTTTCTTGTCTTGTTGTTTGAGACAGAGGTGTCTGTGTAGTCCTAGCTAGTCTGGAACTACTTATGTAGACCAAGTTGGCCTTGAACTCACAGAAATCTGTTTTATGACCTTTTTCCCCCAAACACATCTAATTTCTTTTGTTGTTGTTCTGTTTTAGAGACAATATCTCACTACATAGCCCAGGCTGGTTTTGAACTTGCAGTGTTTCTCTCTCTCTCTCTCTCTCTCTCTCTCTCTCTCTCTCTCTCTCTCTCTCTCTCTCTCTCTCTCTCTCTCTCTCTCTCTCCAGTCCTGAGATTTCAAGAATGTGTCACCATGACACATGACACAACAGCCTTCACCTATTTTGGTTTATCTGCCTTATCTTTTCTTTTTTCTTGTTTTCTTTTTCTTTTTTTGACAGGATCTCACTAGTCTCTGACTGTCCCAGAACTCACTATGTAGACCAGGCCAGCCTCAAAACAAAACAACAACAAAACAAAAACAAAAACAAACAAAGACAGGAGCAGGGTCTCAGAGCTAGCATTCAGCATCCAGTCACTGGTAATTAGTGTCCAGCCACATTGAGGATAGGATCTCCCCAACCTTGGTAGAAGAAACAGCTCTCTGTTGGCTTGGATGCTTTGCTTTTCTGATCTTCAGCTGGAACCCCAATATCTATCTCTGGGTGTTTTGTTTTGTTTTTTTCTAGACAGGGTTTCTCTGTATTGCTTTGGAGGCTATCCTGGAACTCACTCTGTAGACCAGGCTGGCCTCGAACTCAGAGATCCGCCTGCCTCTGCCTCCGAGTGCTGGGGTTAAAGGTGTGTGCCCCCAACGCCTGGCTCTATCTCTAGGTTTTTTATTATTTGTGTTATAGCTCACTTTATTTTTTTTGAGACAGAGTCTCACGCTGAACCTGGAGCTGACCATTTGACTTGCTGACCTGGGAGCCCCAAGAACCCTCATGTTCTCACCCCTCCCCCCCAAAGCAGAGATTCACAATTTGTGGACAACCCGTGAGAGCTGTAAAGGAGGACTCTACCCCTTGGTGGAAACAGGCCCTTGTCTCCTTCCTTGAGGGTTAATCAAGTGGGACCACCCTGGGAAGCGGGGTTACCTTAAAATAGAGTATTCCCCCCAGTGCAGTCTCTACCAGCTGCCATGGGGTTCTGCAGGATCTGTCCACCCAGGGGTAACGATTTCTTCTTTTTCTTTCAGATGCTGGCCAGAGCCCAAGTATGCTTTTAAACTCCCTAATGCTTCGAGCTCCCTTAATCTTTTTCTAAAGATCCCATGCCTGCCAGGCTGCTGACCTCCATCTCAGCTTCTCTTCTCCATCCGGCTCCTCCCTTCCAGGTTTACAGCCCGCCCACCCAGGGCTTCTCCTTTCAAACTCTAATACATTGTCCTGAGCTTTTGCTTGAGCTAATTCTTTGTCCTTGAGCTTCTGTTTGTGTCCTTCTTAAATTCTTTTATTAATGAAACTGAGAACCCCTAGAAAGGGCCCTGACTCCCCAAGATTCCGTGTAGCATTTCTCTACTGCCTTTTAATTCCTAGTCAGCAGGGAAAACTAACCTGTGCCTGCACCGCTAGGCAGCATATTTTTCTTTGTTTTTAAAAAGACCTTCCTGTCCATGTTCTCCTTCAGCCCCGCAGTGATTCTTCGGGTTTGCGATGGCTGCCCTGAGGGCCCTTCTGCTGGTTCCACCATGTTCGTCACTGGCACTGGTGTCACATTTGTCATCACTGGCACCGGGGTCACATTTTCCTGGATCTCTGTACTGAGCCTGAACAGTATGAAGGTCCCGTTCTTGTGCACTTGCATACTTTTTCCCGTCCTGTTCTTGGTAACTTGCAGATTCATCTGACCCCTCCAGGGTTTCAGACTTTGAAAGGTTCAGAGCAGCTTTTATTCTGGAAGAAGTTCATCTTCACGAATAAGGCATGATTTGCTTTTCCTTTTAACCGGGTCTCTGACAATCTCACTATGCAGCTACGGATGTCCTTGAACTTCTGATCCTCTTGCCTCTCCCTCCTGACTGATGGATTGCAGGCATGCATGCACCAACATCCATGCCCCCTGTATGTGGTGGTGGGACTCAGATTCCCAGCATGCTAGACAAACATTCTGCCAACTGGGCCACACGCTCAGTCACTAGGCATGACACTTCTGTAGAGCCTACCTGTCCCTCACCTAACAATGTCCCTCCATTCTGACTTATGGGAACATGAAATACAATCAGTTATGTGACCTTAGGAAATGTCCTGCCTCCTGCTTCCTTGGATTCTTCTCAAGCTTGGGCAGGACATTCTTCAGCCAAGACTCAAAGAGATCCCTTCAGGTTGCCAACATTTTCCCAGGCAACTCTCTCCTCTGGCATTTTAGATCATATTCTTGGTTCTTTGGCTTTTGTGAACTCCAACCTCCATGACCTTATGTTAGGTGGCCTTCTATCACTGGAACAAAATACCAAAGACTTTTATTGGCTCACAGCTTCAAGGTTCTCAGTCTCCAGTCACTGGTCCTGCTGCTCAGGGCCTATGTCAGCACTGTACATGACAGCAGGAGCACAACCTAGTGGAAGGGTCTCTTCACTGCACAGCATCCAGGAGACAAAGAGAAACAGGAAATAGCCAGGTCCCAGTATCTCCTTCAAGATCACAAACCCAGTGACACAACTTCCTTCCACTAGGCCCCACCTTCTAAAGGTTCCACAAGCCTCCAATACCGCCAAATAAAGATTCCACAAACCCCCAATACCGCCAAATAAAGATTCCATAATCCCCAAATACCACCAAATAAAGGTTCCATAATCCCCCAATACCACCAAATAAAGGTTCCGCAACCCCGCCCCAATATCACCAAAGACCAGGGACTAAGATCTCAACACAGGCTTTGGGGGCCATCCAAGGTGCAATCTCTAGTGTGCTTCACCTCCGAGTCTGTTTCCATTCCCCTCCTCTGGTGGTGCAGTCTGGAAACCACCCCCTCACTGAGTGAAGGGAGCCTCCCTCGGGGCTGCATTGTAGTGCCACCTGCTGCCTGATGGCCAGAGAGTTTTCTAATCTCTCTGGGGCACTTTTGTTTTGTTGTTTTTTGTTTTAGTTGTCAATAGCATGAACACAGTTTCATCTACAAAGCAATTAATGTTTCATGAGCAGATTTACAATTTTCCCCTTTCCCCCTAAGGAACTCACACCATCTCCAAATACGAATGAACGGAGCACTGAGTAAACAAAGGTCTGTCTAGAGCTTTCTCCCTCCATGCGCCTTCCTTGCTGAATGCATCTTCCCAGCAGCAATTTGCAGCCTTTTTGGGTAATCTAGGATTTTAACCTTTTATAAGATCACGGGAAACAATAGCTTTAAAACACTAAGGTATTTCAAGGCAACCATCAATAATGACCACAGAACAACGTCTCTGAGTGTCTCTGAAGGCAGGCAGTATTCACTTGCCACACGGCAGGTTCAGTAAGAACCGTCTGCAGTATTCACTTGCCACACGGCAGGTTCAGTAAGAACCGTCTGCAGTATTCACTTGCCACACGCAGTAAGAACCGTCTGCAGTGTTTGAGGATGCTGGGAGTGTGGCTCCTTTGCTGGGACATCGCCTAACAAGCACACAGCCCTGGGTTGATCAGCGGCAGTACTTACTGTAATCCAAGCTCTCAAGGAGTAGCGGCAAGAAGATCAGAAGTTCAAACCGAGCCTGGTCTACATACTGAGTTCTAGGCAAGCTTGGGCTGTATGTCAAATCCCTATCTCAAAACCAAAATGACAGTGCTGGATAGATGGCCCAGTAGTTAAAGATTCGTTGTTGCTGTTTGTTTATTTTTCCCAGAGGACCTGGGTTCGATTCCAAGCATTCATATGGAGACTCACAACCATATGTAACCCCAGTCCTAGGAGACCCCAGGCCCCCTTCTGGCACCAGACCTGTACATGGCACACAGTTTCACATATGCAGACAAAATATCCATAGACATAAATAAAAATTAGTTTAAAACTGACAAAAGGAATTGTGGAAACCTCGTGTGGTGGTTTAGTCATTTAGTGCCAGCACTCAGGAGGCAGAGGTGGCCAGAATTCTGTGAGTCTGAGGCCAGCCCTCCATAGAGCATTCCACGATAGTCAGGACTACATAATGAGACCTGTCTTGAAAACAAAAATGCAAGAGATTTTAAAAGAATTATGCTTCTCATGCAAATTATCAACTTTTTGGAAAATGTAAGAAATTATAAAAATGTCAAACAATGCATTATCCTGCCACCAAAAGGTAACGCTGTCAATCTTGCTTTCCAGTTTTCAATGGGATGCCGGTGCAGCAGGTAGGGAACAGGTATAGCCTAACTCTGCACTGCATGCTGCCCAGGTGAGCCTTCTGCTCTTGACCGGCGGTCACCACCTAGAATCTACACTGATTTCCTCCAGCTTAAAACATCCTTCCTGGAGCGGGGGGAGGGAAGCACATAAGACTCAAGGAACTTTCTGAAGCCTCAGGGTAACGACCCTGTATTTTGCTTGATGAGAGAGTGTCTCAGGGGCCTAGATGAAACTGTAGTAGCTGGCTAGTGGCCCCAAGATTCCAGTCTTGCCCTTTCATTCTACAGATGGGTAAAATGAGGCCCAGAATTAAGGAGACTTGCTGAGGAAGTCTAATGTATCAGCGGGGCTCTGTTAGAGCTGGACTCTAGGTGGTCCAGCCGTGTGTGGCCCAGGACCGGTGCCCCTCAAAGTCTGAAACAGGGCGAGTCAGATGTCCAGACCACTCATAGGGTCCAAGGGGAAGGTGAACCATAGTTAGCCGCGCTTTTCAGATGGGTACGCTGAGGCATACACTGACCACCCCCACCCCACCCCAAGTGGCACCTTCTGGCCCTGGAAGCACCACCCAATTGGGCACAGAGATTCCCCACGCACCCGGAGTCTGGAGGTCTCAGTGGGTGTCCCATGGAGTGCGCCAAGTCCTCCCCAAGACCTCAAGGACCCTCTCTCAACAGGAGCAGGCTCCTACCTAGTCAATCTAGCCTCTCGCCGCCCAGTCGCTATGGCAACCACTGGCCTAACATTCCAGAGTCCGGTGGCAGGCAGCTGGCTAACTCTAGCCAATGGTGTTCTCTGTTTCTCTAACGTGAAAAGCTGTTGGCCAATCGCTAGGGCCGTTTCAAAATCAGCAGAGAAGCTACTAGAATTTCAGGGTTTAGGTTGATTATGCCAGGACCTGTGGCAGGGAAGTATTAGGGGTTTTGTTTTTGAGTTTGGGGTTTTGTTGTTGGTGGTGATGTTTTGGTGACTCCTTAAAATTCTTAGAGCCAAAGGTCTAGGAATTTAGCCCACTCAGAAAACTCTACCCAAGGAATAAACCTGAGTATTTGCATCCATCCACGCCCAGAGTGTGAGAAAAGGTGATGGCGCAGCTCCGCAAGGGCAACCCTTACCCGTCTCACCGCAGCCCGGCTTGAACCCACCAAAGGCTCCTTTAAAATTACGGAATAAGCCTTTTATTCTAAGCCGTCTCCGGCGCGTCTGCCGCCCACGCCTCAAGAAAAAGACCTCGCACAGCCCAGCTGGTCTTTAGGCATCTCCCATAATACAATATGGCAGCTCCATCCTCTCTGAAGTGCTCCCTCTCAGTTCTACCGGCTCACACCTGAAGCCGTTTCCATCGCCGAGGTCGCCCCAATGTCATTTCCTCGTAAAACCTGCGTGATCCCATCTCTGAACCGAATGGCGTGTGCAGGAAAATGTGTGCGCTGCAAGCTCCAAGCGTGGGTTCATAGTCATAGCAGAACCCCTGGGAAATAGCAGCGGGGGACTATGATGATTGACAGCCTTCCGGGGCTGCTGAGCTGCAGGCGTGCCGTGACTTTAAGGATGCCACACAGCCAACAGGTGGGACGCAGGCGCTGGGAAGAAGGGGTACGCATGGTGCCCGAGACACGTCAGGGCTCTGATAGTGAAGGAATCACTACCTGGTGGGAGCAGCAGGAGCAGCTCCCGGGATCGTGGTTGTTAGCACAAGCTGCGGGAACACCTGGCGGACTGCTCGAACCCAGCCCACCTGTCGGGCAGGAGGAGGTGAACGGCCATAGCCTGGGAACCAAAGCAGTCTGGACTTCATGCTTCGGCCGCTAGAGGGGCCTCCTCCAGGTGAGTGCCGGGTCTCGCCCCTACGCTTCAAGCGAGCTTGGCGGCGCAGCCAATTATCTCAGGATATCCCGCCCATCCCCTCCCGACAGCCACTCGCCTGCGCAGAGGCTCCGCCAGCTTGGAACTGGCAGACGGGGTGACAAATCAAGTCTCGACCTTTGAAAGCAAAACACTGACTGCAACCCCCTGGCAACTCGGAGCTGGGAAGGGATCCAGGAGGCTGTACCTCGGGGTGGCGCGGAGCGTCCCGGGTTTCTCCGGAACCTGGGATAGGTGGATGTAGAAGCAACGCCGCGGGTGAGTCGTGGTCAAGATTGAGGGAAGGGAGACTTGAATTCAGGATTGCTGTTTTAGGAAAAGCAACGCATTTTTAGCTGTCTAACGGCCCGCTAGTATAAATACCGACTCTCTTGCTGTGGTCAGCCTTGTCGGTTTGGGTCCTGTTGCCTCCGATTTTTTTTCTTCCATATTTTCAAGGAGGGTGGGTACGGGTTTGCCTTAATGAAGGTGATTCCGGGCGTTACCAGATGAGGAAGTGGAAGGTACTGCCGGCTCCAGCATGCTGGAAATTGTCGGTGCAGCTCGCATATGGATGGACGGAACCCTGTGCTTGGTACAGGAACAGAGGTGTGTCTCCCGTGCGCCGGAATGTCCAGCTCAATGGGAAAGGGCCTGAGAGTGACACCCTTTGGTGCCCAAAAGCCCCGGGAAGGGAGAACTTGGCATGAAACCGATATTCTCTAGTCGTGCTAAATCGTCAGGTGGTGACAAGACCCTGCGCACGCACACACCTTGTTTCTGGTTACAGCTAATTTCTAAATGAACTATTTTTCGTGGCTGTGAGGCTCAGTTCTTCTCTCTGAAAAAAACTTGCTCAGTGGGAACTAATGGAGTAGTTGATTTGGATGAGGGATTGGAGTGGAGGCAGGCACTTAGTGAATTCTCTTTCCTTTCTTGGGTAAGTGACCATGAGCTGTGACTGTGACAGTCAACACTGAGTGGCTGTGTGCCTCTTGGACATATGTCAGTCAGTCCTGGAAAAGTGCTTTGAAATCAACACTAAACCGTCACCAGGCCAAAGTGTGAGCCTTATAAGGGAGTGCAACTTGCAGCGTCCAGGGGGGCTTTTGGGTGACTATATGCAAGCCCAGTGAGGACCTTCCTCTCTTCGTCTTCCTGCATTTAGAGCCCTGTGGGTTCCCCAGGTAGAAAGGGAAGCTGAAACTGCTGTTTGAAAGCCAATGAACTCACCACACATGCACCACACAGAGAAAGAGAGAGAGAGAGAGAGAGAGAGAGAGAGAGAGAGAGAGAGAGAGAGAGAGAGAGAGAGAGAGAGAGAGACACGGAGGGAGGGAGGGAGGAAGGGAGGGGAGGGAGGGTGGGAGGAAGGGAGGGAGGGAGGAGGAGAGAGGGAGAGAGGGAGAGAGGGAGAGAGGGAGAGAGGGAGAGAGGGAGGAGAGAGAGCCACCAGATGGCCTGGAGAAGGTTAGAAGGCCTGAATTCCTTCTGTTCTTCCTAACTGGTCCCCAAGGTCTGTTTGCTTTCTCTGACATCCTGTGGGTGGGGCTGGGTATTTCTGTTTGTGGTTATGAGTCCTGAATAAAGGTTTTTTTTTTTTTTTTGCCACAGTATACCAGGGGCTCTACATTTAGTCAGGAGTGGGTCTGAGCTAGGTCTCTAGAAGAAGCAGGGGATCTGACAATTGCCTTCAACTCCAGACTGGATGAAGCCCTAGGCCTCTCCCAGGTAGAAGGAGCCCTAGACCACCCTCATGTTAATGATGCCAAGACAGAGATACAGACATTTAACACAGCATTGCTTTTGCACACATGCAATCTAATGAAGAGTAATTATGCCCTTCCAGTCATTAGACAGCCCTATATTCATCAAGTCTTACAGGTAAGAAACATGTGAGTCAATGAGTTACCACATGAGGGGGTGTCTTGGGCATGAATAATGTCTCAAGTGAACACAGCAACAATGCTTTAACTTTAGGCCCTGTATCAAGCCTGCATTTGGCATTTCCTAGGTGCTAGGCATGATGTCATCTTGTGAACTCAATGCATTACACTGACATTCCTAGGCATGGAACATGTGGCAGAAAGATCGAGAAGCTATGGAATACACAGTGTTTTGAAGCCTGGGCCTTGGCGGAGGCTGAGCCGTTGACTCTTTCTTGGGTGCATGCTTGGGAGATAGGACCTCACACTGTATATATGGATAAACTACAGGATTAAATTGGGGAGTGGGCCTTAGTGGCTTAGTGGGTCAGGGCACCTGCTGCTAAGCTTGATGAGTTGAGTTCCCAGGACCAACATGCAGGATGGGAAGAACTGACTCTGCAAGGTTGCCTTCTGATTTCCACGTGTGTCCCATGTCATCCATGCCTGTATGCATGCACATACACACAATAAAGGATGTCAGAAAATAAAAACTAAAGTAATGCAAGTGGTGTTTGGCACTGCCAGCCATCTGCCTCGTTCACCTTTATACGCCGTACTTCATTAGACTTACTGCAGCCCATGGCATAGAAGCATTATGAGCCATATTTTATGGCTAAGGAAACTGACTCAAAAGCTGAGTAACCAGGCCGAGGTACGCAAGACAGCACATGGCAGATCAAAAGCAATTCAAAATGTTTGAAGGAGCCAGTGCGATGGCTCAGCGGGTAAAAACACTTGTCAGGCAAGTCTGATGGCCTGAGTTCGATCCCTGAAGCCCACTGTGGGAGGAGAGAAGCTCCACAGGCACATGCTGGCACTCACGCCCACGCACACACACTCTCACACACACACACACACACACCTACACATACACTCACACACACCTACACACACATGCACTCGCACACACACACCAGTAATAAATTAAATGATTATAACATAAACTATAACAAACAGATATACAATAGAATCTAAATTTGTATGGTTTTTGTTGATGCTTTGGGTGGGTTATTTTGTTTGTTTTGTTTTTTATTTGCTAATAAGAAGATTCACAGACCCTTTTGCTATGGTGGTAAGTCTTAGTGCAGATTTTTCTCTTCTGTGTTTGGGGGAAGTTTGAGAAACACTGAAAACACTAGTCCAATGACATTAATAGGGTGATTGTCATCCCTGCTCCTACTTGAAGCCACATGACTGTCTACACTTTACAGATCAGATGCTGAGTCACTCAGAGCCAAACTGACATGGATATCTGGTCCAGCCTTCCAATACTGTGTCCCTCACCCTATGCCACGATTTTCTTCACATTCTTTCCTTCCTAAATTGAAAACCCCATGATTTGGTGTTTGGTTTGGATTCGGTTTTTATTGTTGGTTTGGTTTGCTCTAAGAAAAGATCTCATTATATATAGCCCAGGCTATCCCATGGTCCAGCCTCAGCCTCCCCTGAGTGCTGGGACTTTGAGCATGTGCTGCCACACCCATGATGGTTCCTATTTGATGCTCCTGGGATCTATTTGTTGATTTTTGGAGACCTGGAGAAGTGGATGTAGGTGGTCTTTTATCTTGTCCTCAAACTTATGGAGGAAAGGAGGGTTCAAATTAGGATGTAATAGGAGGGAGGGAGGAGAGGAGGAGAGGAAATGGGATGTCTAAAGGCCAAGGATAAGGCTTTAAGGAAGAGGTCTTTATTCAGGGGTCAGAGGCTGGATAACCATGCCTTCACGGTCCCCTTTTGCATGGCCAGCCATGCTTTGTATAAAGAGCTTTTTCAGACAATGAAGTTGGGTGCTAAGTCTCATGTCCATGAATTTTTCATGTCCTTCTCCACCACGCAGAGCTTGGCCAGAGTCAGAAGACACGCCCTTGCCCTTCCGCTTTTGAGAGACATACGAGCTGCCTTTTTCTCGGGGAACCTGAGGAGAAGGCTGTAAATCAACCAAAAGAGCCCAGAGAACTCATCTTGCCGAGGAAGAGACTCCGGAGGCTGCTGGAAGGAGGTGAACACGGGGAGAGATGACTTCCAGCTTGCACCCTGCCTAGCAGCAGCGCCAGCGCCCAGCCAGGCCAGGCAGGATGTGCCACTAGACAGCCATGGACGGGGCCCACAGCACAGGCCTGCAGCTGCAGCCACTCCCACCCACCAGCAGCTCCGTGAGCCTCAGCAGCAGCGATGGCCCCTTCTCCTACAAGGCAAGTGCTTCACTTTCCTTTGGGAGTTTGTGGGTTTCTAGCCAGAGGCACACAGGAGCTGAATGGTGTCACCCATGTGCCCAAGGTCTGTACACTGATCACCAGCAGACACAGGCAGGCCCTCCACACATACGGCACAGCATGGAATCCAAAGAAAAGAAATGCTTGTTCAAACAGCTAAAACTAGGGCTGGAGGCATGGCTCAGGCAGGGGAGTGCTTTCTACTGGACAAGGGTGAGGATCAGAGTTTGGATCCACAGCACCTCTGTAAATGCCAAGTAATTTTGGCAGGCTGCCTATAACCCCAGCACACGGGAAGAGGAGACTCCCTGGAGCAAGTTGGCTAGCTAGACTGACCAGGTCAGCCAGATCTGCGTTCAAGCAAAAAACCTGGCTTCAATAAAATGGAGAGTAAATGATGAGCTGAGGAGCAAGTGATGAGAACTCCGAAAGTTGACCTCTGACCTCCATACACCCTGCACCTGCACACACATGCAAACACATCACACACACACACACACACTGAAATAACATAAATACAAATGTTGCAAAAATAGACAGTAGAGACATATCTTAAATACAGAGTTAAAAAAATATGCTTCCAGTTAGGAGGTTTGAGGTTTGTTTATTTTTTAATATTTGTTTTATTTTATGTGTATGTGTGTATATTTGTGGGGGTCAGAAGTGGTGTTTCCTCTGGATCTGGAGTTACAGATGGTTGCGAACCAGCATGTGGGTTCTGGGAGACCAGTGTGTGCTCTTAACCACTGAGCCATCTCTCCCGTCCAGAAGACTTGGGTTTTCGTTGGAGAGCTTCTCTGTTCACATCTCAGTCTACCGTGTCTTTTTCTAGTATCTTAAGATCCAGTAGCACACTGTTGTGAAGGTTTCGGATCCCGGTTGCTACGGTTCCCCTTGCTGGTGGACTACTTCCCCATGCCACTGACAGTGGGATGCCTTCCCCAAAGCACGCTTCCAGAATGACTGCCTGGTCACCAGCTGAGCTGCTATAGGGGAATTTGCATGACGGCTTCCCTGTGGTTGGGCATTCAGGTTGTTTAGCTGTGGGATGATGTGAACTGGACATGTCTGAATGCCATCCCTGATGGTCATCCCAGATTATTTCCTTGGGTGTGTTTTAGATTGTTTCCTATGAATAGGTAAAAGGTCTTAGTGTCAAACTTTGGTGTTCCTAACGAAACATATAGAGACTGGAATCATTTGTTTTGTTTTGTTTTTTCCTGAATTGTTGGTTCCTTAGCTTCATTAACTTTCACTGTGATAGAACTTCGGGAAGAAACTCATAATTCCAGGTCACAGACTGTTATAGCAGAGAAGTCACAGTGGCAGGAGCTTCAGGGAGCTGGTCACATGACATCCATAATCAGGATCAGAAAGCAAAGAATGCATAAATGCTAGTCCTCTGCTGGCTTTCTCCCATCCTCCAGGACCCAAATCCAGGGAATGGTGCCACCCACAGGGGGTAGTTCCTCCCACGTGGGTTAACATAAGACAGTCTCCACACATGCCAACTGGCCAACCAGATCTAGACAGTCCTTCACTTAGACTCTCCTCCCAGGGGACTCTAGGAAGAACCATCACGTGGGAGGGTGTGGAGAGACGGCCCAGTGGTTGAGAATGCTGACTGCTCTTGCAGAGGACTCAAGTTTAGTTCCTAGTACCCACTTGGCCGATCCAGGAGATCCTGCTCCTCTTCTGACCTTACCCACACATCTGGTGCACATACATACGCTCAGGGGCATGCACACATGACATGCATAAAATTAAATAAACACTTTTCTTTAAGGTAGGCCTCACAGTCAAGGCTCATAACACCCTGGACTGAAAGAGGCTTAGAGATCATCAAGCACTCTGGTTGTGTGGACTGTGGAAATGGAGTCAAATGATGAGAAGTGACATAGTTGAGCTCATGTAGCACATTGATGGGGAAAACTACAACTTATTTTTAACTCTGTGGTGATAAGAATCACGACAAGTCACGAGTGTTGAGCTTCGTTCTGCTCCAGTGCTGTGCTGAGTCCTTCGCATGTGTTTTCCCTGGCTAAAAGTACATATGTTTTCCCTCCTCTGTAGAGTGGGGTGACAGTAATACCTGCCTCCTGACCATTAGGAGGAACAAATGAATCCGACCACATGAGGCTTGGAATAATGACCCACGTATGATGGCTAGCTTTCAGCAGGTGGCTGCTAACAGCGTTTTTATCTCTGCTTTGGTGATAAGGAAACTGAAGCATGAGGTTGTGTGGTTACCACGCTCTTAACCACCTCACTGGCGTCGTTGTGGCTTCTCAGCCAGTTCCCTCTCTGCTTCGACACACTCCCGAGTGCCCCTGTCACCCTGTAGGCCAAGGCAGGCGATGAGGACAGAGAGACGGCAGCAAATGAAAGGGCTGTTTTCATTTTAATTCCATCCGATCAGGGAGCCTGGATACACGTATGCAAGTCCCGGTCCCGAAAGTCTGCCTGGAACTGAGCTGCTGTAGAGGGAGCGAGGACTCTGACCCTGACATTTCTTGATGATTCTGTCCCCCCTAGGTAGCTCCCATGCAGAGATGGGTCTGTTTCAACGCCAAGGCAGCATGATTTTCTTGCTCTCTGATCTTTCCATGGAAGCCTGTCATTTCCACCCATCTTGTGGCCATGACCGTGTTCTGGGAGAAGGGGTGGGTGATGGACAGAACAGCTACAATGAAGATGGGGAGACCTGAGTCCAGCCCAGCTTCATCCTCACATTTGATCTCAGACGAGCCAGGCCCTCAGTGTCTGTCTATCAAATGAAGGGGTGGAGTTTGTGATGGTCCCCAGGCCTGGCTGATACCAGACATACCTGGGGAGCTCTGTCTCAGCCTTGAACTCAGCTCTTTGCCTGCACCTTCTCTCTTTGCAAATCTGGATCTAGCAAACCTGAGATAGAATCCTAGAGGCTGCCGTTTATAAAATGGCCTCAGGTGGGTCAGGCTGCCAGCCTGGGCAGCTGTGTGGATCAGTGAGCTGCATCTTCCCTGGAGTCTAGGAGAGAGATGGGGAAGACAGGTCTCCACAAGGACCTACCATTAAGAAAAAATGTGGTGCTGGCCCTTGGGAGGCAGAGACAGATGGATTTCTGTGAGTTTGAGGTCAGCCTGGGTTACACAGTGAGACTCAGTCCCTGCCCCCCCTGAAAAAAAAAAAAGGAAAGAGGGAGGGAGAGAGATGGCAGAGCAGAGTGCCGAGATCTCGGATTTGGACTCTGACGGGCTGGCTTCAAGCCCCAACCTTGATGCATCCTAACCTAGGAAAGTCACAGACCTGCAGGTGAGGCCAGTGTTCTTCCTATAGGGTAATTAGGAGATGCTGGAATGCCCAGAATGAGGAACCCCAAGCCACATGAGTCATCCCTTTCTGCTTGGGAAACCCTGCAATCCACCCAATTCCTTTATCACATGTTCCAGCACTTCCCAATGGGAAATAAAGGTCCTTTGTCCATAGTTCATATTATGATGCCGTAATAGCAGTTAATATGTGTGTTGAGCATTGACTGTGTAGCAGGGACTGTGCTAATCCTCCTGAAAGTCCCAGGAAGTACTCTGTTAACTTCATCTCATGTGTAAGGAAACTGGCACAGAGAAGTCCATTAACTTGCCTGAGGCCACACGGTAAATACAGTCAGTAAAGCTGGAATTCAAGTCATTTGCTCATCACCGTCCGGGGTCCTGGCCACCATTTTGTGCCGCTTGTATTGTGCCAGGCTTTTTCTGTTCCTGCCACTGGTGATGAGTGTGGGGATGGCTGTCATCACAAGGCAGGCAATGCCTCCCTGCCAAAGACAGTGTCAGGGAGGTGGCCTGAAGCCAAGCTGCAGGCGTGGCAGAACCTGGTTCACCGGAGTGCATTCTTTGGAATGCCCGCCACCCAAAGCCCGCCAGGACACAGCTTACCTGTTTACAGTCCGAGCCCAAAGCCCTGGGGGAGATCAGTTTAACCTCCTAGTGATGGTGGTGTCTAGATGGGGGCTGGGGGAGCAGACCCGAGGGGACCCTGGCAACGGCAATGTGAGCTGACTCACGTGAAGACAAACTGTAGCAGCTGCTGGGATCCTTTCCGGGCTTACTGCGTCGTGAGATACTTCATCTCCCTCTTGTGGAACATCATCATAGGGCTTATAATCAGCCTCCATTCTAAAATCTGAAGGCTGAGGCCCAGAGACTTGAGGTCATTCCCCCAAAGTCACACAGCAAGGAGGTAGCAGAGACAGGACCCTACTCAGGTCTGCTGGCCTGAATCCAGACAGAGGCGCCTTTGGTCTCTCCACTGTCTCCCTGGTGCTGAGGTTGTGGGGAGCTTGCAGCCGTGAAGAAACAGCCTGAAATCTCACCACCCCTGACCAATGGTGCCCTTCCAAGTTTCACTTTGAGGACACTTTGGCCCAGAGGTCTCACTGAGTAGATGCCCGGGACTTCTGACTTTTGCCACATGAGTGGGGCACCCTTTCATTCTGCAGGTGTCTCCATTTAGGTAATATATGGTTATCATAAACTTAAGGCCCATTGCTACTTCTCACCCCAAAATTATAGGGGGGCGAAGTGTCCTGGCTTGAGCTGGGCTCTGCTGGGCACACATGGGTGTGATCTGCTCCTCTAGCCTGGTCTCGTGCCCACTCAGGTGATGTCTCTGTGAGAAGCGGTGCCTGGCAGCGTTTGCCTGCTTAGCCTGTCACCTCCACCCTGTCACCTCCGCCCTGTCACCTCCACTGTCTGCTGGGAAGATGGGAGACAGGCGAGGACTGGATGAGATGTGGCCCCAAACTGTTCACCCCTCTGAGGTGATGGGTTCTCGGGACACGCAGCCCAGGAGAAGCTGTAGCCTGAGCCTCCACCAGGCAGTGTGGACCACGTGTCCCTCAGCTGGGACCTGCTTGTTCCAATTTGTGCCTTAAGGGCCATGTCTTAAGAGTCAGTGTTAGTCACACACTCGTCACTGTGAATGGACCCCACAAGGGGACCAAGGATGACTCTCCAGCAACCGAGGGAGCTGCTGGGGGTCATGCCTTCACAACCAGAGTCCCGTCTTCAAGCTCTGAGGTCGCAGGAGGAGCTTCAGGCAGGATCCTTCTAGACTCTGAATGCCTCGTGCCAAGCCCTGAGGGCAACTGGTGAATGTGTGTTCAAACTGTGTAACCCCTGGGCGGTGGCAGCTGTCCATGACTTTAAATGTTCATAAAACTACACCACGCACCACTTCATAAGGGTTCAGGGGCATAATTAGCGCTGATGAGGCCCTTGGAGACATTCAGATCTGAGGGCATGAGTGATGTCTGTTGTTACTCACTGTGTCTGTCTGAAACTGGCTATTAAAAGTTAAGATTAATGTGCTGCCCAAATGGCTTTGCCGAGCAAACTCAGCTGCCTGCGTCAGCACCAAGTGGAGTACTTACACAGTGCCCCACCCCTCCTGGAGATCACGTGCCCTCCCCCTTCCCCACCCCCCCACCCCTCCACCCCCCCACCCCCGCATTCTTATCAGGAAGTCAGAGATCATGCTTCCGATCCCAGGCCCTCCTGTTTGCACCCTGGTCAGGTTGTATCACCTCTCCAAGGTTTACTTTATTCATCCGTGAGCTTCCGGCTCTCAAGCTGAGAAGAGATTAAAGTGGAACACTACCTCTTAGGGCTGTTTTGGAGTGTTTGCTGTTTGGTTAGTTTTGGGGTTTTAGTGTAGTTTGGTTTGGGGTTTTTGTTTTGTTTTTTATTTATTTTGGAGTGTATCTGTCTATTTGTTCATCCATGTGAATGAGTGTGTGTGTGTGTGTGTGTGTGTGTGTGTGTGTGTGTGTGTGTGTGTGTACCATGTATACTCAGGAGTCCTCAGAGATCAGAAAAGGTGTTGGGGAATCCCTGGACTGAGTTACAAGTTTGGGAGCTGCCATGTGGGTGCTGGGAATCAAACCTGGGTCCTCAGAAAAGAGCACTAAGAATGCTGAACCTCTGAGCCCTCTCTCCAGCCCTATGGGTTTTGGATTTTTTATTTTATTTTATTCTATTCTATTCTTAGGACAAGGTCTTGCTATGTAACCCAGGCTAGTCCTGAACTCACTATGTAACCAAGGATAGCCCACTTACTCAGTGCTGATATCATAGGTGTATCCATCCCCCATGCCCAGTTCTCCTAGGGTTGTATGTGGCCCAAAGGGAATGTCTAGAGAGGGACTCAGCCATCACTTGTGAGCACTGTGCAAATGCCAGCCTTGACCATGGAGCCCTTCGCTCTGAGAGGTTCAGGTGCCTAAACTGGTGTGTCCCTGTGGGTTTTCTGGTTTTCACTTCTCCATTCCTTCTCATCTGCCTTCCCTGTAGTGGTGTTAGCTTGTCTGTGTGGCGGAGGGCTTTCCCCTTCTTTAGCTCTTAACTTCCCCTTGGCACAAACAGCACCTTCTCATGGTCTCGTTCTTTTAGTTAACATGCCATCAAAGGACAGCATGGTCTCTGTGTGAAAGAAATAGTGGCTCAGTTACAAGTTGAACCGTATGAAACCATTGTATTTCTCTGTCAAAAACAGTCAGCTAAGGGGACTGAGGAGATGGCTCAGCAATTACTACTTTCTACTCTTGCAGAGGAACTGGGTTCGGCTCCCACGTGATGACTCTCAATTGTTTCTAACTCTAGTTCTGGGGGAACTTATGCCCCTCTCTGGCCCATGCAGACACTAGGCATACATGTGGTGCACATAGGTGCATTCTGGCAAAATATTCAAATACATACACATAAATAAAAATTTAACATGATCATCCGGGGCTGGGGCTGTAGCTTAGGTGGTGGGGTACCTGCTGACCTTTTAAAAATGATGGATGTAACATGCCTGGCACAGAAATATGTCCACAGTGTGTTGTACACACAGTGCTGTGCCGTGGGTGGGGGAGGCTTCAGATCCCCAGGAGCTGAGGCCACAGGCAATTGTGAGCTGCCTCACATGGATGCTGGAAAGTGAGCTCTGAGAACAATATGTACTCTTAAGCATGGAGCCATCTCTCCAGACCCATGATCTAATGGTTTTTGAGATAACATCTCATAAGGATGACCTTGAATTCTTGATACTCCTGCCTCTACCTCCTAAGTGCTGGGATGACAGGTGTGGCCACCACATCCTGCTCTTAACTGTCATTTTTATCACCTGTATTTCCTAATTTTCCTATCATAAATATATGTCCAGTAATTTTTTCCATTTAAAAAATATGCCAAGGAACCTGAATCTCACCGCTAGGTTGATATAGACAAGTTTTGGTTGATTAACCAGCTGGAAAATCCCCACTGACGCTGGCTAGTTGGGAGGTTCTTGCTGAACTGTAAGACTTCCCTGGCCAGATGGCGATGGTAGAAGCCCCAGCCTGCGTTTCTCTCATCCACACTGGTTTCTACATGCTGCTTTTCTGTACGAGATGGTGGCAGATAGGTGCGTCTCAGAGGCCAGAGGGTCAGGTTTAGTCCTGTTCAGGTCACCAAGATGAGGACAACCAAAGATAGTGTTTTCTGGATGTATCCAACTCAGGACAATGCCCTGTGGATGCCCAGGTGGTAAGATTCCAACCTTGGGCCGGACGGTGGTGGCACACGCCTTTAATCCCAGTACTCAAGAGGCAGAGGCAGGTGGATCTCGGTGAGTTCAAGACCAGCCTGGTCTACAAGAGCTAGTTCCGGGACAGCCTCCAAAGCCACAGAGAAACCCTGTCCCGAAAAAAAAAAAAAAAGATTCCAACCTTGGGTCTAGAGGGAGAGGGAGGGGAGAGTAGGCCCTGTTCTGGTTTTGTTTAGGGGCAGACTGTTGTATGCCACATATGTCCTGGGACCCCTTGACTTAAGTGCCACTCACATCAGTTCTGTGACCCTTCCTCCTAGGAAAACTTGATTGGCGCTCTCTTGGCGATTTTCGGGCATCTTGTGGTCAGCATCGCCCTTAACCTGCAGGTGAGTCTCAGGTGCCAGTGCTGTCCCAGGCAGAGGTGCAGCACAGGTGACCAGGTCTGCTGTCTGCTCTCTGGGGAGACACTGTCTGCTGCCTGAATCTCTCGACAGTCCTTGTCCTCCTTCCCCTCCCCACGCCGGCCAGGCTCCTATAAGTCAGAACCTCGTTCTCTGTATGTGTATGCACGGGTGGTAAATGTGTGTGTACACATGTGTATGCAGGTGGACACACCTGCGTAGAAGCCAGAGATCCATGGTGGGCACCTTCCTCAATTGCTCTCCGCTTTATTTATTTTTTAACATTTGGTTTACTTGGAATTTTGTGTTAGCAGTGGGTGTGGGCACACAAGTCAGGTGCGTACAGAGTCCAGAGTTACCAGGTTCTCCTGGAGCTGCAGTTACGGGTGGTGTCTGAAGTAGGTGCTGAGACCCAAACTCAGGTGTTCCAGCAGAGCAGCACTACCCTTAATGGCTGAGTGGTCTCTCCAAACCCACTATATATGTGTGTGTGTGTGTGCGCGTGCGTGCGTGCGTGCGTGTGTGTGTGTGTGTGTGTGTGTACACACATATACATATACATAAACATATACATATATATATTGAGATAAGGTCTTTCACTGAACCTGGAGCTCAATGATAGCAAGACCAACTGGCCAGCAAAGCCACTTCCTGTTTCTTTTCTCCCCAATGCTAAGATGACAGGCAGCCACTGCCACACCTGACTTTTTGCGTGGATGGTAGAAACCAAACTCATGCTTGTACAGCAGACACTTCTCCAACAGTGCCGTCTCCCCAGCCGAGCCCCTGGCCTTCTCTCCAGCAGTGGAGTGGCATCTTAACTGCAGACCTAGATCTTGTCTCACACTGCCCGTGCCTCCAGCTGCCAGGGTCACTGTGGTGCCATCACCTCAGCTGTAGTTCCAGTATTGTCAGTGCCTCAGGGACGGGGGCTGCAGCGTTTGCCGTAGAGCCCCCACAGCGCCTGGCCTGGTGGTTGCCACAGCTGTGCCATGCGGCGGGCTGATAGCTTGAGGAACTTCCCCTGAGGTCCCAGGGAACTGGTGCACTTGTGTCCTAGGAGACAAGAGTGTTCCCATGCTGGTGGCCGCAACAGGAGTTAGTGGATAAATGTCCTTCATTAGATTTCTCAGCGGTTCTCCAAGGCAGGCCCTGAGTCCCGGGCAGAGTGGCATGCCTGTTATCCCCGAATTCAAGAGGTGGGCAGGAGGTTTCCGTTTCTTTTCTTTCTTTATTTTATTTTTATGCATGTGAATGTTTTGTGTGTCTGTGTATGTTTGTGTACCGTGTATGTGTGTGTGTGTGTGTGTGTGTGTGTGTGTGTGGTGCCTGTGGATGTCAGAAGAGGGGATTAGAGCCGCTGGAACTGGAATTATAGATGCTGTTAGCCACAATATGGATGCTGGGTACTGAACCCGGGTTCTCTATAAGAATAACATGTGCTCTTAACCGCTGAGCCATCTCTCCAGCCCTGAGGACTGAAATTTCAAGACCAGCTTGGGAGACATGAGACAGTGTCTCAAGAAAAGAGAGGGGCTAGAGCGATAGCCTAGTGGGTAAAGTCCTTGCCTTGCAGGCTTGAGGACCTGAGTTCAATCCCCAAAACTTATGTAAAAATAGCCAGTTGTGGAAGGCACACAGTGCTGGGGTGGCAGACAGGTGAGTCACTGGGGCTCACTGGCAAGCCAGCCTATTTGTCAAGCTCAGGCCACTAAGTCACTCTGTCTCAAAAACCATGGAGAAAGATTGTTTTCTCTGGCCTACACATACACAGACACATGCATACACATACATACATACGTGTGCACATGTGCAAATGTATACCAACATACCCCCTTGCACACATGTGCATGCATATCTACATGCATGTGAATACACACACACACAAAGAAATGCCTATTTCCAGGTCCCACCTCCAACTCCTCCAAACCCAACTCAGGCCCTTGTGGATGGTTTTTTAAAGTGGATTCCTTCATAAGAGCCTTTCATTTTTCTCCATACATCTGGTCAAACATCTGTTCAAATTTCATTCCTTTTTGGACTTGTAGAAATACTGCCACATCCGCCTGGCAGGCACCAAGGACCCCCGGGCATACTTTAAGACCAAGACATGGTGGCTGGGACTGCTCTTGCTGCTGCTGGGCGAACTGGGCGTGTTCGCCTCCTATGCCTTCGCACCACTGTCACTCATTGTGCCCCTGAGTGCCGTCTCCGTGATAGGTAAGTTCTAGCCTGCTCTTTACCCGGGATCCATGGTCTGTGTGGCCCAAGTGCCACCACGGGGCCCCGAGCACTCGCACAAGCAAACAGGCAACGAGCAAGCAAACCCTCTTGGGGCCAGGCGTGGTGGCGCACATCTTTAATCCCAGCACTTGGGAGGCAGAGGCAGGTGGATCTCTGCAAGTTCAAGGCCAGCCTGGTCAGCATAGCGAGTTCCTGGGCAACCAGAGCTATATAGAGAGACCCTGCCTCAAAAAAATCAAATCAAAACAAAGGAAGCTATTCTTGACAGCTGGAGAAGTAGCTCAGTAGTTAGGAGCACTGACGGACCCAGGCTCGGCTCCTAGCATCCGCATGGGAGGTCACAAGGGACTGTAGCCCCAGTCTCAGGGGATTCGATGCCCCTCTTCTGACCCCTTCAGACACTGCATGCGTGTGACACACTGACCTGTGTGCTGGTAAAACACCCGAAAAAGGTTAAAAACAAAAAACAGCACTCTTGTGGTCATCAGTTTGAGAGGGAGTGAAGCAGGAAATGGTTTGGGGAGGAAAGGGAAGAGGGAAAGTGATGTGATTATATTTTAACTTAAAATGTATTTTTAAAAATATACGCCGATTAAAAAAACAAAACAAAAAACACCTTTGCTTTGGCGGTAGGGTCTGGCATCCATGTCACACACAGGCCCAGCTCGGAGCACTCTTCGGGATTTCCTTCTTCCTGCCTTGCCAGGTAGAGACTAGTAACACCCATTTTACAGATACATGAAGTAAGGCACATGTCACACAGCCAGGAGCAGGCAGGGACTAGCCAGGGTCTCCACCTCCAGACCATGTTTAAGATTCAGAACACTTTTTGGAATTGCTTTTATGGCCACTTTGAAATGAAGTTAAGCCTTGATCTGAACATCTTCACACTAAGGAGGCGTACTAAGCTGTCGTCAGTTCACCATCTTGCCCCTCTGAGAAACGATCGCTCGTGCTGGGATCTTTCCCTGTCACCCCGTCCAGTCGCATGCCAGCATTACCTTTCCCACCTGTCATTGTCCCGAGATTTCCACACCAGGGCACCTGAACCAATCAAAGGTGAAAGAGCTTTAATGTCCCAAGGTCACAGATAAAATCCAGTTCTAACCGAGACAGGTAGCCAAGTGAACAGTCGCCTGCTGTGCCCAGGAGCTGGAACAGTGGACTCATCTCGAATCTTTCCTTCCATTTTGCTAGCACCACTCTGCCTGGCTCTCCCCTACTCTCAGGAAAACAGCGAATCTTGGCATCTTACATCTCCTTGATTTCAAAGGTCCTCTTTATCACAGGGAGGGCCTGTGCATGACACACATGTGGTAACTGTGTCCCTCCTGGGCTCAGGGCAGACATTATTAATCAACCATAACTTTCCTTCCAGCCAGCCTTGTTGGACCTCAGAATCCTTTGCTCTGCAGGCAGCCACTACCAATTATAAGCAATTGGAAAATGGGAAACTTGATTGGATTTCCGAATTGCTCTAGAAGAACCCCTCTCTGTTGAGCAGGGCTGCTGACCTGGCAGTCTGCAGAAGAAGTACTGAGGTTTTCCCACCCAGTGTCTTTTCTCTTAAGTATTAGGGATGAAACCCAGGCCCTTGTGCGTTCTGGGCAAGTGCTTGCTGCTCAGCTACGAGGTCGGATCAGTACCTTTTCTTTTCCCAGTGTTTTTCCTAAGGGGGTTTGAATATCTCCATCTTCCCCTGTGGTCTTCTGGATTGATTCCTGAATTCAAGCCACCACTGAGCCCCACTGATAGTTAGATTTATGTCGTTGTCTCTGTTCTGTCCACTGCTGGGGTCTCTAAAGACCTCTTGGAACCTTCGTTCACCATGAGGAATAAGTGACTGAAGGACCAACACTGTAAATATTAGTCTTCCATTTTGAATAAGGAACCAACTTTAAACTTAGAGGCTGAGAGCTGGGAGGTGCGGAATGATGGCCTGGTTGGTGCCATGCCCTGGTTTTGATGCCCAGTGCCATAATAAATAAATGAGTAGGGTGAACCGTGACAAGATTTGGGGGTCGGGCTGGAGAGACAGCTCAGAGCTTAAGAGCACTGGCTAACTCTTCCATTGGCCCTGAGTTCAATTCCCAGCAAATACATGATGGCTCACAACCATCTACAATGAGATCTGGTGCCCTCTTTGAGCATGCAGACATACATGCAGGCAGAACACTGTATACATAATAAATAAATCTTTAAAAAAAAGATTTGGGGGTCAGACATGGGGCTTAAGAAACTCTTTGAACCTCCAAGGTCACTCTATGAGAAATATATTTGGCACACTAACAGCTCATCCATTGGCAACTTTTCCATAACTGTTCCAAGTACTTCAATAACAAGAACTGTTTTATTATGAGCATTTACTGTACACTGAATGATTTGCATATAGAATCTTATTTAATTTCCCTACAACTAAAGAGGTAATAGTTTTCAGTGGGGTTTGTGGGCTGATTCTGGGGTGGGGAGGTGAGAAGAGGAGAGGAGGTAGAGGTAGAGTGACCACTGAGACTGGAGAGGAGGTAGAGATAGACTGACCACTGAGACTGGAGAGGAGGTGGAGATAGACTGACCACTGAGACTGGAGAGGAGGTGGAGGTAGAGTGACCACTGAGACTGGAGAGGAGGTGGAGATAGAGTGACCACTGAGACTGGAGAGGAGGTGGAGATAGAGTGACCACTGAGACTGGGGGGGAGGTGGAGATAGAGTGACCACTGAGACTGGAGAGGAGGTGGAGATAGAGTGACCACTGAGACTGGAGAGGAGGTGGAGATAGAGTGACCACTGAGACTGGAGAGGAGGTGGAGATAGAGTGACCACTGAGACTGGAGAGGAGGTGGAGATAGAGTGACCACTGAGACTGGAGAGGAGGTGGAGATAGAGTGACCACTGAGACTGGGGGGGAGGTGGAGATAGAGTGACCACTGAGACTGGAGAGGAGGTGGAGATAGAGTGACCACTGAGACTGGAGAGGAAGGGCCCCTCCCTCCAAGTGCTGTGTGGTATAAATGTATTTGCCCTTCTGTGGCCATGTTCAAGCCACCCGTGGCCACCTGAATATATGACAGCAAGGTGTTGCAGCCAGACCCAGAACACATCTCACAGAATAGAAGACTGTCACTCAGGAAGTAACCTTCCCTGAGTCTCACAACCAGGAGAGTCAGAGCTGGGCTAGTATTGGAGTCATTCATGGTAGTTTCCAGCCCTGTCCGTTAGATGGGTCTCAGAAGTGTAAGCAAAGCTGTGACCCTGCAATAGTCAGGGAGGGACAAGCTCCATGTGGGATACAATAGAAGAAAAGCTCCCGCCCGCACAGTTCTGAGTTATCAACCGTAGCTCCCACCTCTAAGGTTGAGCATCTGAAAATCACACATGTAATTTCCCTCACACAGTGGGCACTCAGGGCCTAGGGCTCAGGCTTATGAGAAATCCCACAGAAGGCTCTAAAGGTCTCCTCTCCCAAATGGGAGTGGCTGAGGCTGAAGGAGACCAAACTCTAAAGATCTCTGGGGACACATGCAAAAAGCTCCCTGCAAATGAGCTACCCAGAGGGCGAGGGCGGGTGAGCTACCCCTCTGCCTGGCAGCAACCTCACTCCTCTTCTCTGTGCTTGGCTTCTTCCAGCGAGTGCCATCATCGGAATCATATTCATCAAAGAAAAATGGAAACCTAAGGACTTTGTGAGTAAGTCTCTGATAGAACCAGCCCGTCCCCACGGGCAGCCCCTCTAGCTCCCCCCCTTGGGCATCCCCTCCAATCCGCCCCCAGGGAAGCCCCTCCACCTCCCATTCCCCTTTGGGTTCCTTGTTCCTGGGAGTGAATGTTAAGTGCTCCAAGCCTGGCTATGTATCAGAATTGTCGGTGGCCCTGCTGAAGATTAGCCTTCCTTCATTCCCTTCAGCCAGTACCAATCGAGCCTCTGTTGTTGGGATTTGTGAAAACACAACTTCCCTGACTGAGTCTTAAAGCCACGGGAGTCAAACCTAGGAAGCCAGCAAGTCTGCTTCACTATGAATAAAGGCTGAATTTGAGTTTGCAGCCCAGTGAACCTGCTCACAGTCCTCCAAAAGATCCCCCAGCTCAGCTAGACCTGGGCCCAGTCCCCTCATCCCAAGGAAACATCTGGGTTTACAGAGTTAAGGTATTGGCCTAGAAATACTGTCTCACATCATTTAGAAGCACAGAAGGGAGAAAAAAGATGCAAGTCCCCATGTTGAGTTTTTTTATAGATAATTCTAACCAACTGAGAAACGTGGACACGTAGATCAAGGGTCTTCAGGGTTACGTTAATCTCAGTCCCTCCATTGGAAACCAGTAGAGTGGGAAGAAGCGTTCCACCTAAGTCACTCTGTGTTGTAGGATGTGGCAGCAGAAAGATGGGGGGGTGCTGCTCTCATGGAGACTGTAGTCTAATGTGAGTACAGTGTATGCTAGACGGTTACAGTAAGCAAGTGAACAACTAAATAATTTTAGGTCACAGTAAGTACTTCAGAGTAAATATAACGCTTCTTACCTGGGGGCCTAAGGGAGACACCGTGCCCAGCCTGAAGGTGTGCTCTTCAGTCCTAACCTCAGATGACACTAGAATGCTATACCAGGTGTTTGGACAGGGTGTGCCACCCAGAGAGAGCAGCAGGTGCAAATGCCCTGGGGCAGGAATAAATTTCCTGCTTGGGGCATTAGTGGCTGGCCAGAGGGTGGGAAACTCCAGAGGCGTGGAGGGCCGTACACCGTCAGGCCTTATAAGCCATGCTAAAGGAGTTGGCGCAGGAGTGACATGATGACTGGGATTGGCAGTGTGGCTCAGGCATTGACAGCATTGTCACATTCCCCGGAGTGAAGTGTATACTAATGTCGGAGACTTAGAAATGGAACTGACTAGGGAGTAAAGAATGGAGAGGCCGCGGGGGGTCAGAGATGAGACTAGGGGAGTAGGAGGGGGTGGGAGGCAGTTAGATGCGTGCTTCAGTAAGTGCAGTGCAGTCAAATATCCATTCAGTGTCTAGGCCAGCGGTTCTCAACCTTCCTAGTGCTGCAACCCTTTAATAAAGTTCTCATATTGTAGTGACCCCCAGCCATACAATTATTTCATTGCTACTTCATAACTGTCATTTTGCTACTGTTATGAATCACAATGTAAATGTCTGATATGCAGCATATCTGGTATGCGACCCTGTGAAGGGGTCACTCTTCCCCAGGGCCATGACCCATAAGTTGAGAACCACCCGTCTAGGCAGTAGGGCTGAGGTGCTCATTACAGAACTCTCCCAGCTTCCCTGTGTGTCTAAAGTCTTTTACATAGAAATTTACAGGAAGGAAACTGCCAAAGTGTTGGGATTGCTGGAGTGAACAGCCAGAGTGAGCCCTGCCTCAGCAGCTGTGTAGACCAAAGCTCTTAGCACACAGCTGGCCATGCCCAGGATAGCCCTTCCCTGCTGGACCTTCCCGCTAGAGTATGACAGGACACCAGGGAAGATGCACAGGGCTCTTGCTCTCCACTCTGTCCTGGGTCCTGATGCTGGTCCCTGGCAGGCCTCTGGGCAGAGTAACAACAGCATTGAGTCTGTTCCTTCCAAGTAGATTAAGTAGCTGGTTGGAAAAGGACAAATTCATTCTTAAAAGTTGCCTGTTGGACTGTGAAGTCTGCTTGGGGAGTTTCTGTAATCTGATTTCTCTTTGAACCACTAGCTCCCAAATAACAACATGGAGACTTATTATTAATTATGAAAACTCTGCCTTAGCTTAGGCTTGTCCCACCAGCTCTTACAACTTAAATGAGCCCACATTTTTATTAATCTACATTCTACCACTTGGATTTTACCTCTCTCCCATTCTGTGTGCTCTTCTTTTTCCACATTTCTATGGCATTTTTCAAGCCTAGATTCCTCCTCCTCCTCTCCCTCCCTCTCCCTGGAAATCCTGCCTATCTCTCCTGCCTAGCTATTGGCCATTTAGCTTTTTATTAAACCAATTAGAAGGTACCTTAGGCAGAAACACATCTTTGTACTGTATTCAAAATATTTAAACAAATATTCCACAAGTTTTATTTCCTTTTCAGCTTCCCCATAACAGGATTCTAGGTTTGGAACTTCCCTGTAAAGTGCACATTAGAACCACAGCGCAGGGGTGAGGGGTTGGAGGTTATGGTTCATTGGGAGAATTTGTCCAGTGATCACGGTTCTGGGTTCCACTCCCAGTACTAAAACAACAAAAAGTGAAATAGCCCAATGGTTACAAAACAGTAAGTGTTAGCAAGAATACAAACAGAACCCTTACACGGTACTGATGGGAGTGTAAATTGTTACAGGCACTTTTGGAGAACTGTGTAACTACCAAACCAAACATCACCTATCTGGTGGTCCAGTTGTACACAGGCAGGAATGTCCACAGCAACACAATCTATACAACCCCAGGCAGCAAACACATGCCCAGCAGCAGGACAGTGGATGCTCGGGTCACTTTCACACAGGCTACAGCTGGGCTGTAAGAATGAATGAACCCGAGCCGGGCGGTGGTGGCGCACGCCTTTAATCCCAGCACTCGGGAGGCAGAGGCAGGTGGATCTCTGTGAGTTCGAGGCCAGGCTGGACCGACAGCCTCCAAAGCAATACAGAGAAACCCTGTCTCAAAAAAAACAAACAAAAAAAGAATGAATGAACCCAGTTGGCACAGGATGCAGACCAACCTCACAAACACCATGCTGAATGACCAAAGGAACCCAAAGTCAGGTCCATAAAGAACCAAAGCAGTTGACACTCTCAGTGTTGCTCAAAGTCAGGGCCATGCCACCATGTAGTCAGCTCTGGGAATGGAGTTGGGGCCCTCCTGATGTCTCCTTTCCTGTCTTGGGTGCTGGGGGGACGTGGGCACTGTGCCCCAACTCAGTGTGAGAGTTCATCTAGCACTTCCTGTGCATGTCAACCTTCACTCGAGTTTTGTTAAGGTTTCTGTTTGGTTGGTTTTTGGCTTTTTTGAGACAGGGTTTCTCTGTGTAACCCTGGCTGTCCTGGATCTCACTCTGTAGACCAGGCTGGCCTATAACTCAGAGATCTGCCTGCCTCTGCCTCCCAATTGCTGGGATTAAAAGTGTGCACTTGTTAAGCTTCTTAGAATAACATTTAAGGGAGTGAATGTATACAAAATACATGATAAGCATATATGAAGATACCATGATGAACTCTCCCCCAGTAGCATTATAGGCATGATGTCTTATACCTATGATTTCATGCAGGTAGCATACAAATGCACATACATGCAAATAAATAAAATAGATCTTTAAAAAAAACTGGACTGGAAAAAATGGCTCAGTGGTTAAGAGTACTGACTGCTCTTGAAGAGGACCTGGGTATGGTTCTCAGCACCTACATGGCAGCTCACAGCCACCTGTAACTCCATGCAGGCAAAACACCAGTACAAATAAAATAAAATTTTAAAAGGTTTTGTAGAAAATTAAATCGAGTAAGTAAACAACAAATTACACACACACACACACATACACACACTGAGGGGACCTAGAGAGATGGCTCAGTGGTTAAGAGCACTTGGTGTTCTTGCAGAGGACCTAGGTTGAATCCCCAGTACCCACATGGTGAACCACAATTGTCTATAACTCCAGTTCCAAGAGATCTGATGCCTCTGACCTCCAAAAGCACCAGGTACTCCTTGGTGCACATACATGCAGGCATATCACTCATACACAAAAATATTCAAATAATCCTTAAAAGAAGCATTAAGGAATGTTACTCTTTTGAAGTAAAGAACAACCAAAAGTATAAGCAGTGCCAGGTGCCTGTCACAGACTGTTGGGTAAGCAGTGCCAGGGGCCTGTCACAGACGGCTGGGTCTCTGTTGCTGAGATCAAAAGCAAGTTGGGGAGCAAGAGGCCGGTTTGACTGACACTTCCACATCACTGTCCATCACTGAAGGGAGTCAGGACAGGAACTCAGACAGGGCAGGAACCCAGAGGCAGGAGCTGATGCAGAGGCCATGGAGGAGTGCTGCTTATTGGCTTGCTCCTGGCTCGCTCCCCATGGCTTTCTCAGCCTGCTTTCTTACAGAACCCAGGACTTTCCCAGGGGTGGCCCCTCCCACAATGGACTGTCCCCCTCTCCAACAATCACTAATTTTAAAAATGCCCTACAGGTTTTCCTGCCACCTGACCTTAAGGAGGCATTTTGTCAATTGAGGTTCCCTCATCTCAGATGACTCTAGCTTGGGTCAGGTTGACATAAAACTAGCCAAGGCACAGGCAAAGGCTGAGCTGACTCACCAAGGACCCCCTATGCACCTGGCTCATGCCCTGAACCCCTGACCATTCCTCCTCCTTCCCCACAGGGCGCTATGTCTTGTCCTTTGTTGGATGTGGTCTGGCCATCGTGGGCACCTACCTGCTAGTGACATTTGCACCCAATAGTCACGAGAAAATGACAGGCGAGAACATCGCCAGGCACCTCGTGAGCTGGCCTTTTCTCCTGTACATGGTAAGTGAAAGTCCTACCCTTCTGCTGGGTAAGCTGCAAAAGGGTCAGGTCCCAGTCGCTGAACTGCAAAGTCAGCAGTTGGGACCACTGAGGCACGGGGTGACCACTGAGCTTGCAGGCATGCCGGGTTCAGATGGCATCCAAATCCATCCACGGTACACCGCCAGTCTTGGGTCTTCACAGCCTGTGTCTATAAAGGGCAGGTGGCAAAGCAGAAATTCTGGGTAGTTGTCCCTGGGAGATGAAATTATGATATAGATTCTTATTTCCACATCATCTCTCTGTCTCCAATGTTTTAACATCATGCATCTAATTTTATTTTTATTTTTGTGGCATTAGAGATGAAACCTAGGCTTTCACATATACTAGGCAAGTTTTCCCACTGAGCCACACCCTGGCCCTCTTTTTACTTCTTAAATTTTGAACCAGGAGCTCAATAAGTTTCCCAGGCTACCCTTGAACTCTGTGTAACCCAGGCTGGCCTTGAGGTCTTCCCTGCTCCAGCTTCTCGTGTAGCTGAAACAGCAGGCCCATGTCAGTAGATCTAGTTTTTAAAGTTTTTACAGTAATGTGTGAGCATGGGAGAGCTCACACAAAAGAAAAAAAAGAAAACAGCCTTGGTGCTCGCACAGCTCTGCTGTGGGCTGGCCTTATGCTGACACAGTGCAAAATGGGTTTATGAACTACACATTCTCTCAATGCTTTAGGCTGTTTTCCTCCCGATCTCATGGATGGAGAGGCTGAAATTCTGAGTGGGTCAGAACACCTTTTTGCCTCAGATGGCCCAGAATACAGAGGATGGGATCCTGGGAGGCTAGGGTTATATCTGTTGCCTCCAGCCACCCCCTAACAGAAACATTTTTAGCTGAGTCTATCCCCAAAATGGACTTCTCACTCAGAGAGAACAGGCTTCAGTTCCTGTGTGTGCTGTGTGGCCTCAGACAAGTTTCATTCCTTATCTGTGACATAGCAAAGTGACTAGACTTGGAGTTGTTGGGGTGCAGCATGAGGCTGTGAATAAGTCACCTAAGTATAGAAGATGCTCTGTGGAGGGCTCAGTGGCTTCACCAGGACTGACATGAGACAGTGCCACTGTCTGAAAGAATTGAACCAAACTCAAGGAACACATGTCTAGGGGGTTCCCTACATGCTGGAAATTGTGGATATGGAAGGTCACTGAGCTCATCTCACAACTCCTGGTCTCTCCTGAGACACCCACACGTGCATGGCCATCTTAGGGTTTAACACCAAGTGCCATGCTAGCATTCACTGGCGAGTCACAACGGGTCATTTCAGGCAGTAGCTGAAAACTGGGGTGCCCCCACCCCAGCACACACAGCTTCAGGAGTGCTACTGAGTCTGAGTACACATGGCGGGGTATCCACCAGTAACCACGTGGATGGCGTGTGACTCCCCCCTAAAGCGTGAGACTCACGTCCAGACTGACGACTGGGTAAGACACACTCCCTGGGAGGGAGAGCAGGACAGAGGACATGGAAGAGCTTGAGTTAGTGGCCTCCGGTTGCAGGGACGTTTTAAGATCTCTCACTTTAAAATGGCTGTTTGTTGATGTTCCCCCATTAGTTTGGGGAATGAACAGACTCCAGTACACGTTTGGGGTTGGCCAGGGGAGCTGAGCCATTATTACATCACAGTTTTCTGTGATAATAGCCTTAGCAATGCTAAGTGCTGGGGCTGGCTTCCTTAGGGGACACACTGTCACTCATCTAGAAACGGTGGGAAGGACATTTTCTCACAATGTGAGCTTAGCATTAGCTACGAGGGGCTTTCTGTTGCTGAAGCAGCTTTTCCATGCAGGTCTCTAGGCCTCCAGCCCCACACAGCATGGTCTTTGGGAAAGGATATGGACCCTTAGGCGGCCCAGGTTCAAATCCTGTTCCTGCCATCGGCTACATGGGCTGTAATAGTCCCCACCTCACAATACTGTGTTGGTGTAAGGAGGTGCATGCAGTGGCCATGCTGGGTGTGGTGTCTGGCCTGTGGGGAGAGTTCACCCAGCATAGCGCTGACTGTTGCCCTGTGAGTGGAGTCATATCCCCACTGAGCAGTGGAGGCGGCAGAGGTTTGGAGATGTTTAGACTTGCCCAGGGTCACACAAGCGATTCAGAGACAGATGCAACTACAGCCTGCGACTCCCAAACTCCACCCGTCTTCCTTTTTTTTTTTTGTTTTGAGACATAGTCTCACCATATAGCCCAGGCTAGACTATACCTCAAAATCCCCCCACCTCTGCTGCCCAAGTGCCAGGATTTCAGGCATGGGTCACCATACCCAGCAATTGCCTTCTTCTTTCTACCCTGGAAGCTGTGCCCACCTGAGGCTTGGTGACAAAGAATGTGTACCTGTGGCTTGACCAAATGGCTCCCTAAGTACCTGGCTCATTTGGGGATGGCATTTTGCTGCTTTTGTTGTTGTTGTTTTGATTTGGTTTGCGTTGTTGTTCCTGGATATAGAACCCCAGTCCTGGAATGTCTCTGAAACGTTCTCTACCATTTGTCTGCACCAGCCACTTTTTACTTTCTTATTTTGAGATAGGACTTAAGTTACCCAGGCTGGCCTTGAACTCACTGTGCAACCAGCCCTGAACTGTCACTTCTCCTACAGCCTCCTCCCAAGTGTGCCACCGGGCCCAACAGTTGCCTTCCTCTTTCTCTACACACACACACACACACACACACACACACACACACACACACACACTCACAAATACACACACACATACATACACACTCACACACACACACACTCACTCACTCACACTGGAGCTTGGTCAGAACAGAGGATGCATGTCGAATTCCTGACTAAATGCATGGTGGTCTCTGATGTCCTCTGCAGCTGGTGGCGATCGTCCTGTTCTGCCTGCTGCTATACTTCTACAAGGAGAAGAATGCCAACAGCATCGTTGTGATTCTCCTCCTGGTGGCCTTGCTTGGTAAGTGGTTTCTGGATGATAGCACTTTGTCACCTCCAGTAGCCCTGCACGTGACTGGTGGCTCTGCATGCAGAAGCTTCACGAGGCCAGCTCAAGGGGGTCACTCCACAGGTGGCCACAGGGAGAGTTCCCTGGCTGACAGAGGTGGATCCTAGCATTTCTCACACTCTGGCTCAAATCTTGAGTCCTCCAAGTGTCCAGAACTGAGGGCCCAAGTGGTCACTCAGAGAGGACCATCTTCAGCAAGAGAAAGGCGAGCAAACACACGGACCACAGCCACGGAAGTGTGCACAGTGACCCCACAGGAGAAGGAAGGAAGTGGGGTAAGCTAGGTGAGGTCAGAGGTCACCTCAGAGCAACCCCTGAGCTGTCCAGCAGTACCCTCAAAGGGCTGTACGGACAGAGAGCAGGAACGGAGCTGGAACAGACAGGTTTTCCTTCCCTAAAGAGGATGGATGCTGAGGGGGGAAAATGCTTTAAGAGGCAAGGATGCTGCTTGTCACCCAGTGTCCAACAGAGCAGGAGCAAGGGCTGTCCGTCTGGTTTCTCTCCTCTACACAACACTCCAAAATGGACAAGGAAAAGCACCAACATTGGAAGATGTAAACAGGCATGGGCAGAGGCACCCACATGTTATCCCCCCATCCCACCTTGGTGAGAACCCCCAAACCACACAGATATGTGTCACTGAAGACAGGCTGGCATTATTTTGAACTACTTTTTAAAACAGCTTTGTTGAGATGGAAGCCCATGCTACGTGATCCATCTGCTCAAGGTAAGCCATTGTGTGGGCTTTGCTATAGTCACAGACTCACACAGCCACAATCTAATTGTAGAAAATCTTCACCCCAAAAATAAGCCCTGTACTGAGAGTACCGGTGACTCCCATCCCCCCTCTTCCAGCCCCGGGCAACAACTAACCTATCTTCTGTGTATGAACATTGTGAACATCTTCTATAACTGGAATTATATCCTAATATGGCTCTTTGTTTATTTGTATTGAGACTGGGTCCCTAGTAGCCCAGACTGACCTTGTGTCGCCATCCTGGAACTTCTCATCCTCCTGCTGGCTCCTCCTAAATGCTAAGATTGCAACGCGCCCCACCCCGTTTAGGCAGCGTGAGGACTGAGCCCAGGGATCTGTGAGTTCTAGGCAAGCCCTCTCTCAACTGAGCTGCATCTACGGCTTACATTTTTTATTCGTGGACAGCTAGCCTTGAACTCTTGATCTTCCTGCCTCAGCCCCCTATGTGCTGGGGTTACCAGCGTATACTACACTCCTGGCCCCGTGAAGCCTTGTTGTAACTGGCTTGTTTGAACATAGCGTCCTTGGGTGTACCCAAGTTGCGGCCAGTCCCCTGTCCCGTTGTGACTTTGAGGTGATTAGGACCTGAGTCATCAACGCCCCCTCCCTTCACGTCCCATCTGCTGTTTGGTGGCATGGACAGTGTGGTGAAGCACGCCTCACTTCAGCAGCTACCGGTGCCTGCAATCTTAGCATTCAGGAGGGGCCAGCAGACCGGAGCAGTGGCCCAGGAAGAAAGCTGGTGAGGTAGAGGAGGAGGCAGAGCCATCCGGTCAGGGCTGCGGCCTCTTCTGTCTCTTTCTCCAGTTGCTTTTCCTAACTCCAGTTTGACGGGGAATGTGACACTTTGCAAGCTGAAGCTACTAGGAGGTCAGCAATGGATCCTCATAGTGAGGTGGCCTTGACAGTCACGGGATGTACAGGAAGAAAACAGAACTTTCACCATTTTCCTTCCATCTTTTAAGTAGTGACATTTCCTGTACATGTTCTATACCATATGTGCATGTGCCCATCATATAAATGCATCGTTACAGAGTTATAATTTTGAAGTAAATAAAGATATGATTTGCATACACGTAAAGGTACATAGCACTAGAGACTTCTTGGAGTAAAGAAATATATGGAAGGAGCTTGAGAGATGACTCAGTCAATAGAGCGCTTGAAAGCCTGGATTTGGATCCCCAGAACCCACATAAAAAGCCAGGTACAGGGTGTGCACCTGTAACCCTGGCACTAGGGAGGCAGAGACAGGAGCATTCCCAGGGTTTACTAGCCAGACAACCTGGCCAAATGGATGAGCTCCATGTTCAGTAAGAATTCTGTCCTAAAAGAGAGACAGAGACAGAGAGACAGAGGGAACCAACAAGTGGAAGATACCCTATGTCAAAAATCTTGTCTCTATATACACTCATTGACACACACATACACACCAAAAACAAAGAGGTTCTTAAAATATTTACTTTTATTTATGTGTATGTGGGGAGCAGATACTCCATGTGTGTTCGATTGTCATGAAGGCCAAAAACGGTGTCACCCCCAGAATCTGGACTTACAGGTGGTTGTGAGCTGCCATGTGGGAGATGGGAATTGAACTCAGGTCCCATAAAAGAGCAGCAAATGTTTTTAACCACTGAGTCATCTCTCCGGCCCCAAAACCCACAGAAAATACATGTGACTGAGTATTATAAAGCCCCAATTCCCGAGTTCTTTGTACACTTATTATCCTGGGATTATCATGAAGCTGGTGCTCAGGGAAATTTTGTGTGTCTGTACAAAGAGCCCACCTCCATGTAGTCTGGGGACATAAACCTGAACTTAGGGTACACACAGTGAGATGACATTTGGAAATAGCTGTGGGCACCTCCTATCCCTCCCTTTGACTTGTCAGCCCAGATCTGGGAGTCCTGGGCAAGGCTGACTTATCCAATAGTGCCATTTTACCACAGGAATTGGTGCCCCTCTGCCCCCAAGTCCTTTGAGGATCTGACACCTTACATTCTCTTGAGGCCACCCACACGCTTGCTTGCTCTCCGCAGGTTCCATGACTGTGGTGACGGTCAAGGCTGTGTCAGGGATGCTGGTGCTGTCCATCCAAGGCAACCTGCAGCTGGACTACCCGATCTTCTACGTGATGTTCGTGTGCATGGTGGCCACTGCTGTCTACCAGGCCACGTGCGTTGCATTTCTTCCACCTCAGGGTCTGGTTCTGTTTGCTTCTGAAGTTGTCGGGGAGCCAGTTTAGCATCAGGGCAGAGATGAGCTCAAAGGGCAGGGGGAAACCCCACACACTCACCCCCCTGCCCCAAGTGCAACTCTGTCTCAAACTATGAGAAACAGCCTCACCTCCCGTCATCTGCCCTGTGGGAACTTGAAGAGAAGCCGTGCAGTCACCTAGGAGGCGTTTGCTTGTCTCCTTAGAGAAACAGGGTTGTCATTTCCTGTGCTTGAGAACTCTGCCCCGGATCCTCACAGAGAAAAGAGTGCATACTCATGTCTGCCGCTGAGTATGGGTGATATGAAGCTTTGCAGTCCTGAGAGTAGGCTTCAGTCCTGCCCCCCTCTGAGTCCTAGAGCCCCCCTGCCAGGGGACGGGGAGGGAGTGGCACTCCATGAATAGGGTAGGTGATGACCCGAATCAGTCAGCCAGAAAGATTCAAAATGGCGGGTGAGGCTGAGCCACCCTGAAGGTCAGGTTCCTAGGTCTAGCCTGGGCTCAGCACCCACCAGCCACCTGACCTTGAGGGCCATAGCAGCAGCAGCTGCTGCTGATGGGAGCCCCCATCTTCGGTTCACCCATGCTCACAGCACCCTCTGGGGGGAGGGCGGGCTGGACATGGAGATGGTACTGTCTGTCCCATGTTGGGAGGTGGAGGGAAATCATAGCTAGGACGTGATAGTTCCAGAGCTGAACCTAGGCACCAGGCTCCCAATCTGGGCCCCTCTGCATCTGCTCCGCCGAGTCCCCCTGAGCTCTCTGGGGTTTAGCTTCACTCTCTGCAGCTGAGACCCATAGGTCTGCCTGAAGTGCCCCAGCTTGGTGTCCACACACGTCATCGGCTTTGTCACTACTATCCTTTTAACTGTCAGGACATGATAGCCCTCCCAAGGGGAACCCTAACCAAGTATACAGGTTCTGTACTGAGAGATCAGGGTCACACGGACAACCAGGGACTCCTGCTACTTCTTAGAAACCTCTGATCTCCCAGTCAGGACCCAGCACCCAGAGCCACAGTCCACCCCACAGCGCTCAGGGACACAGCCCATGCACAGATGGTTAGCTTAGTGGTTAGTGTACCTGTGGGCAACTGTGCAATGCTGACTTCGATGTCAACAGAGAATCAGACAAAGGATCGGTTCCCACATGAAGGTGGTGTCTACCACAGACAGGTTAGGAGCGATATCAACTTCCCCTTTCTCCTGTTCATTGCAGTAACCACTAAAATATGCTCCTAATGTTTTAAAAATTACAACATTAGCCGGGCGGTGGTGGCGCACGCCTTTAATCCCAGCACTCGGGAGGCAGAGGCAGGCAGATCTCTGTGAGTTCGAGGCCAGGCTGGACCGACAGCCTCCAAAGCAATACAGAGAAACCCTGTCTCGTAAAAAAACAAACAAAAAAAATTACAACATTGGGCTAGATGTGACAAGCCCCATGAAAGTGTCCTGGGATGTGTGTGGACCCAGTGAAATGGGGGTCAGGGGTGAGGAGACGGGCGTGGCCATGGCCAGAGTCACACAGTCAGAGGCAAGCTGCAGACGGGCCTCAGTCTGTGGGCCAATCTCAGACCCCAAATCTTGGGATGCATGCCACCCTGTGTAGGGAGAGGCCATTCTTACAGGTCTAGAAACCCCTATGCCTTGTCTTACACCCCAAGTTCCACTGTTAGCTCGCAGCCCCCTGACCCAGGTACCTGTGTGTTGCAGGTTTTTGAGTCAAGCCTCTCAGATCTATGACTCCTCCTTGATTGCCAGCGTAGGCTACATCCTGTCCACCACAGCAGCCATCACAGCAGGTGAGAGCAGCCCTTCATTGTCTGTTTCCTGCCCAGGCATTGTCCCTGGGTGGGGTGGGGGTGGGATCTACCTCTCACCTGACTCTACTTTGTGAATCTGTGTGCCGTGATTCTTCCCGCCAGCCTGGTCCCGGTGCTGCGTCCACCCCAAATAACACAGAGACCCTGTTAGTTACAGTGTTGTCGGCCAATGCCCAGGGCTTCTCATTGGCTAGTTCTGTCTTAAGTATTAGCCCATGACTACTAATATATATTTCTATAAGGACTTATCTTTCCCGGGACGGCATCCTGACATGTCCTATCTTCCCTGGGATCACATGGAGACTCCTTACCCTTGACTACATTTTCCAGAACCCTCTTCAAATCCTAGTCCCACCTATCTTGATTCCCTATTGACCAACAGTGCTTTGTTAACAAACCAGTAGGACGACATATACACAGAAGGACTCCCCCATCAGATCTGCCTGTGGGTTTTATGGAGGCTGTTGGATTTAGAGATGGAGGCTTGCATTCCAGTAAACATATGCCAACTTTGTGGCTCAGGGAATAATCACTTACTTTCTCTGAGCTGTAGTTTTACATTCCTAACAACACTTCCTCTCTAGAATTGCAATATGTATAAGCCAAACCTCCCCTGTTCCTCCTGCTCATGGGTCCTGGGCAGGGGATTCTTCAACTGATTTGGTCATTTGGGTTAGGATGTGGTTCAGTTGTTAGAATTCTGGCCTAGTATGCACAGAACCCTGGGTCCCATGCTCCATGCTGCATTAACCAGGTCTGGCTCTCCGTACTCGTCATTCCAGTACTTGGGAGATGGAAGAAGGAGCATAAGAAGTTCAAAGTCATTTTTGGCTACATAAGGAGTTTGAGGCCAGCTTGGTCTACATGAGACTCTGTCAAAAATAGTGGGTGAGGGGAGAGATGAAGGAAGGAACAAACAAACCAGGGATGGTGGCTTGTGCCTGTAATCCCAGCACTTGGGAAACTGAGGCAGGAAAATTATCATGACCTGTGGTTAATGACAGGAGATGGGAATTGAAGTATGTATGAGAACTTTGCTGTTTGGATCAGTGTAGTATCATCCCAAAAGTTTGTTTGTTTGAATATGGGGATATAAGGAGCCCAAGAGGGCAGTTGGAGGAGACTCTCTGCCTTCACACATGTTAGTCCTAGTGTTCTTGGTCACTTTGGTACCTTGCAAAGAAGAGCAAATAGCAAGAGCCTACCCGGGGTGGGCAGGTCAGGAAGTGGTCATGATCTCTTCTCTCCCTTGCTGCTGCACAGGTGCAATCTTCTACTTGGACTTCCTGGGGGAAGAAGCTCTGCATATCTGTATGTTTGCACTGGGGTAAGTCATACCTCATCTAGTCAGGCCCTGCCCCTGCCCACTGCTTCAGCCTTGGTCCCTGAGTTGGGAAAGCTGCTAGCCGGAGGGTGCTGGATGGCCTCAAAAATGAGAAACTTGCTCCCTCAAAGGCCTGCAGCCTTCTTTCGTCTTGTCATTTCTCGTAAATATAACTTGCAGGGAGAGAAGCCAGGAGGTAGAGACTCTGGGCATGGTGGCCATGAAGAGAAGAGGCACCGAGGTCCTCCCAGGAACTGGGTTGGGGCACATTTGGTACAGTTCCTGCCTGGCATGCTCAAAACACTGGGTTCCATCCCCATCACCAAATGAAACCAGGCATTGTGGCACACATTTCTATTCCCATCACTCAGAAGATAGAACTTACCCACAGAACCTTCTAGAGCAGCAATTCTCAACCTGTGGGTCACGACCCCTTTCCCAGGGGTCAAATATCAGATCTCCAGTATACCAGATATTTACATTACGAGTCACAATAGTAGCAAAATTACAGTTCTGAAGCAGCAACAAAATAATTTTACGATTGGGGTCCCCCCAACATGAGGAACTGTATTACAGGGTCACGGCATTAGGAAGGTGGAGAACCACTGCTCTAAAGGGATAGAAATCTTTTGGTCTTGACCTGGGAGATAAACATACACACAGGTTAATGTAAACAAACCGTTCATCTTTCTTCCTGGGATTTATGCATTACTGCCTGTAAATTGCACCTTGATTTTTAAGAAACTGCTTGTTTACATAAACTGAAAGAAAAGAAAAGCCGAGTGGGGTCACACACACCTTTAATCCTGGCTCTGGGGGTGGCAACAGAGACAGAGAGAGCACTTGAAGAATAGCCAGCTCCTGAGCGAGTTGGACTAGGAGACACAGGGACTTCCTAGTATTTGTTCATTTCATTTTGCTAGACCTTTATACCAACTGAATTCAGATCATGAAGATTTCTTTTTTTAGAGCCGGGAAGTGGTGGCACATGCCTTTAATCCCAGCACTAGGGAGACAGGCAAGTTTGAGGCTAGCCTCATCTACAGAGCGAGTTCCAGGACAGAGAAGGTTACACAAAGAAACCCCATATCAAAAAAACAAAAAATATGCTCGGGGGCACGGGAGAAGGGGAGAGAGGGGGAACTGGGGTTGGTATGTAAAATGAAAAATAAATTTGTAGAAAAAATAATATTTGTAAACAAAAATAAAATATAAAACATGTTTAGTTTTAAAAATATGGCTTTTTAAAAGGCATGCTTTTGAGAACACTGGCCGTAGGGGAGTGAACGAGCCACATGCTGCAAGCATTTTCCTTGAAGAGTCTAGACAACCCTGAACCCAGTTTATAGAGACTGTGGGTGTGTGGCCCCTGCCCTCTGTAGGCTGTTCCTTGCTGGTTGCAAGCCCCATGTTCTCAGCCTTCCCTTTAGCTGGCCCTTTGCCACTTGCCCTTGAGTCCCCTTCCTCATGGTTGCTCCTGGTCTCATTTCTCCCCCTCTCGTGTCTCCTGTCTTCAGGTGCCTCATCGCCTTCTTAGGTGTGTTCTTAATCACGAGAAACAGAAAGAAGGCCATTCCATTTGAGCCCTATATTTCCATGGACGCCATGCCAGGTAACAATGTCCCTTCCCGAACACCCGTGCCCTGCTGGCTGCCCCTGTAGAGTGACTGCTACTTGGTGTTGGAAATGCAGTGCAGATTAGGTGTGCTGTGATGTGAGTTCTGGCCCTGTTTTTTGTTGGTTTGTATGGCTTTTAATCTCTCCTTTCAAACGAGGAGGTGATGGCTGAGGCACCTCGGTCAGCCTTGAGAACCCCTTGCCAGTTCTTAGGTCTTTCAAAACCCCCGACTTACACCATATGTGGTTCCAATCAGCGGTACCAGGCCCCAAGCCTGCAAACAGAGACAGAGTGATCACAGAGAGGAAGAAAGATAACATGAATGAATCCAGCGCTATAACCTTGATCCTGCACCTTCGTACTTCCCCGGGGAACTGAGGGCTTGCACTGAGAACACAAGCTCAAATCATGTTTAGCCCTGAATACACTTAGCAGTCAGCCAAACACAAGGTGATAGGGATGAGTGGGGCTTGTGAGCTAGGAAAACTGAGTGGGACACTTAAGACTAGATTAGCCTGGGCTAGATTAGCTGATATAAATTCTTCAGGCTGCTAATGCCCACTAACATTACCACTTGAACCCAAAAGCCATCTTTATATTAAGTATATAAGATGGGACTCTCTCTGCCACCTTTACCGGGGCATCCCCCAACAAGACAACGATACCCGTAGGTTAGTGAAGAGCACAGACATAAGCCAACTCCGGAGACAGTTTCAGGAACAGCATCTGCTTCATTGCACGTGAGCATCCACTTATTCAGTGGAAGCCTGCTATGACTGCTCAGCGCATTACCTCGGATTGGACAGTGAACGCTCACACCACCAGGGGCTCTATGCAGATTAAAGATGACGTGGGGAGTGCAGACTCGTCGCCAGGCCAGCTACCGGTGACTCGCGCTACTTCAGAATTCAGTGTTCTGACTTTAGGAGTGTTCTTATTTAGAAGTGCAGTGTGCCTGGTATGCTGACCACCAGGTCATCCTGCATTTTCTGTAACATTTTCCACAGCCTCATCACCCATTCTCCAGTCACATAATCTGTGAGCAAAGCATGAACACATATGTCAGCCACATAAAACACTCCCTCATCGAGAGCAGCTCTTAAACTTTTGTAGTGGCATGCACCTATAATCCCAACATTTGGGAGGTTGAGGCAGGAAGATCATGAGTTCGAGACCAGCCTGGTCTACATGGCAGCACGGCCTAACTGTTAGGTTTTGATGCCCTGACCCAAGTGTGTTCTCAGGACTGATTGATGTGTTCCCGTGTCGAGTGGCCCCAGCTGGATCCGCTTACTGGTTTGTTTGTCTGTTTGTTTTATCTTGCTCTACTAAGCTGCCATCTGCCCTGCTTGCTGTGGCCAGCCTGCCTGAGTAGGAATAGAGAAAGAACCCCATGTCAGCATTTTCATTTGACCCGACTCAGCCACGCGTGGATAATCGCAGAGTGGCTGAGTGGGGCTGAGGTTTCTCCTGGCAGCTCAGGGCTCGGGCTGTAAGTGCGTGGACTGTGTTAACGTCGATCCTGGCTGCTCAGATGCCTCTTCTGCTTACTTCCTTGTTTCTCGGCTGTGTTCCGGATAGATGAGGGCGCTGGATAGCTGAATCCCAGATAGGTGAGGTGTCAACTCTGTGTGCGAGTATGTGTATGTCCCCGTGTGTCTGTGTGTTTACAACCTGTGTGTCTGTCCATACACATGTTCCTGTGTACATACATACAGATGTATTTCTCTGATGGGAAGTAGGGTGGCATCAGCTGATCTTAGATACCAGGATTCCATGACCAGTTTGTAGGTGTGGCTCTTGTACCTCATGACCAGTAGGAAATGAGGTGTTGAAGATTGGAGACCCTGTCCTGTTGCAGTTGAGACAAACCCACTGGACTCATAGAGTTCACATGGCCTGATTCAGATGCAAATTCTGCCACCTTCCCCTGTATGACGTGTTGAGGCCTCTCATCCCCACGCATAAACGGGGACCCCTCATCTCTGGGTTATGGGGTGCATGTTTGTCAAGGCTTTGACACAGTGCCTAGGATGTAGCAGATGCCTGATTACCTTTGCTTCCATTTTTCTTTTAAAAACTTTGAAGTTTGGGAGTTGGATAGATGGCTCAGTGCATAAAATGTTTGCTATGCAAGTATGAGAACCCACATACAGATCCCCAGCACCCACACCCATAAAAGCCCAGCCCAGCAGCAGGTATCTGTAGTATTAGTGCTGGAAGGGGCAATATAACTAGTCAGTGAGCTCAAGGTGAAAGACCCTGGCTCAAAAAGTCTAGAGCAGAGAGTGGTCAAGGAAGACACAGCACCAACCTCCAGCCTCCTCATGCACACACACATGCACATGGGCACACGCACACTCACGCAGCACACTCATGCATCCACACACATGCGCACACACACACACTCAGTGTTTCAGCACTTGACTGGCCCGCTCATCAATAGAGGCACTTCTCCAGTCACTTGGCTTCTCTGGTCATGTGATCTGGCCTTTGACTGTCTGGTTTGATGTCTTCAGATTCCAGGACTTCAGGAAGCATCACAGTTGGAGGGCCTTTCCTAGATGGATGAAGAGAAAGCAGCCCTGGCCATCAGGATCAATGGGGCCTCCACTGGTTCTGTTGTCCTTGGCCTGATAGAAACCATGTCTCAGAGTAACCTCAGTAGAGCCATGCTCATCTGCATGGGTGTGTACATAGACAGGAACACTCTGTTACCATGTCTGAACACAGACCCAGCATGAACATTGTCCAAACCACAGAGAGCAGAGGTGCTGCTCCTAACCCGGCTTGAGTGCCCGTCAGTACTGACTAATACCACAGCCTGGGCCCTGTCCAGTCTTCTAAAAGAGAATCAGTAAGGTCCTCAGGGACAGGAGTACCCCATTTCCTAACAGTGTCAAATCCTGAACCCTCCTCAGGCCCCCCAACCCAAACCTAAAACCCCTAATCAATACCCCTAACACTCCATGTTCTACGGTACAAATCCATACCCATCACATCTTGAGGACTGATGGCATAAGGCTGGAGGCACTGACACAATTCAAAGCTATGCAGTGCTCAGTAAACCAACTCTCCTCTGAGCAGTAGACGCCCTTACCTCCCCAGCCACACCCATGGGCCCCAAACCATAGACTTTTTCTTTTAAAGATAGGGTCTTGTGTAGTCCAGGCTAGCCACAGGCTCTCTATATGACAGAGGATTGCCTTGAACTTGTAAACCTCCTGCTTCTGCGTCCCAAATGCTAGAACTATGGGCGTGTGCTGTCATGCCCAATTTTATGTATGTGGTGCTTGGGGTCCAGACCACAGCTTTGTGTATGCTAGGCAAGCAGGCATGCACTCAAGCAGGCATGCACTCAAGCAGGCATGCACTCAAGCAGGCATGCACTCAAGCAGGCATGCACTCAAGCAGGCATGCACTCAAGCAGGCATGCACTCAAGCAGGCATGCACTCAAGCAGGCATGCACTCAAGCAGGCATGCACTCAAGCAGGCATGCACTCAAGCAGGCATGCACTCAAGCAGGCATGCACTCAAGCAGGCATGCACTCAAGCAGGCATGCACTCAAGCAGGCATGTACTCTGCTGATGGAGTCTGCACCCAAGCACAGACCATAGGCTCTTAAACTGGTCCTTGAATCAACCATCGATTGTCACGTGGAGGCTAGAGACCTTCCCCAGCTGACTTTAAAGCTGCAGGCTCTCCCACTAGGTCCCAGCTGCTCTTTAGTTGTATGACCTTGGGCATGCTACTGTGTCTTGTGGAACCTGTTTTATTATCCAGGAAGTGGGGGTACTGGTTTATCTCTGTCCTGGGGTTGTTTAGGGATTAAGTTCAGTCTGTAGGGAGGCCGCATACCACTCCAGTTAAGAACAATGCAGACTTTAGAGTTTAGACAGCCTGCGTTCAACCCTGCCCCTGCCTCTCAGCAGCCGTGGCTCTCAGGTTGTTTCTGGTTGTCTCTATCCCTTCTCCATGGCCTTAAGGGTCAGATGAGACAAAATTGGGTGAACATTTGAAAGAGCATATGTTGTCATCCAAACACCAGCACACCTCAGCCACTGCCAATACTGCTGGTGCTGGTCTCCAGCTGTGTTGTGTTAGCCCAGTGCAGAGGGTATGCCAGGCAGCGAGAGGCCAACTGTTACCATCCTTTCACAGGAGACATTTGGCACTTAGTTAGGGAAAGAGTTGGCCCCCAAGTGATCCCCTGGAGGGATTGTAGAAAAAGGTCACAGGAATTGAAGATTAAGTTCTGTAAGCCAGGGAAGGGCGTGCATGCCTAGAACCCTAGCATTTAGGAGGCAGAGGCAGTTAATTCAAGGCCAGCCTGATGTGCTTAACAAGTGCCAGGTCATCCAGGGTTATAACGTAAGACCCTGTCTCTAGAAACAGTGATAACACAACAACGACAAAGCTGGGTCTTTATTTCCCCTGAATGGAAATGGAAATCACACCTCACCCTGCATATAGAGACGGAATATTAAGGTCAAAGATGGAACACTCCCTCCGGCCATCACAATGTTTCTCTTGTTGCTGGGTCTCCAGGATGCAAAAGTTGCCCTCTTTCCTCAATGCTAAGAAAGCTTCCTGGATCCCTGAGTTAATTCAACAGCAAAGTGGCATCTACCACATCCAGGGTGCAGTGTTTTGTCCTATGCAGCTGCTACTCGGGATGCAAACACATTCCTTCCTCCCATGTAAATATGAGTAGTTCCTCTTAACCCTCAAGTATCTGGGGAATCAGTACTGTACTTGGTCAGCCCCTGGGCTCTAGTTGGTCTGTGGTGAGAGAGAGGAAAGTGCAGCCTCCCTTTCCGTGTGATGACTGGGGGCATGGATGTCATTTCAGGTATGCAGGACATGCATGCAAAAGGGACAACGGTCCAGCCTGACCTCAAAGCTTCTTTTTCCTATGGGGCCTTGGAAAACAATGACAACATTTCTGAGATCTACACCCCGGCCACACTGCCCGTCATGCAGGAGGAGCATAGCTCCAGAAGCACCCCTGGGGTTCCCTACCGTGTTCTGGAGCACACCAAGAAGGAATGATCTGCCTCCCTTGGGGATATGACTGCCCACAGACCACCCATGGTTCCACCCTTTGTTCAACCTGCCTTTCAAGTATCCTGGTTTTAAACTGAGAACCCTACAAGATGATCTTGGGAGGCCTTTGTCTCTGACAGAAAAGCCGTTCGATGACCGTGGCCTTGGAAATTTCAAATAGTTGGGGAATGTCCCAGGTGAGCTGTGTGGCAGGTTAGCCCAGTGGGGGTTGAAGCCATTTTATCTCCTTGGACGGTCAGTGAGCATCAGGTGGTGATTGCAGGCTACCACATACTCCCTAGCGTAAAAGCAAGAGAGAGTCCACGTGCTCCCTCTTTGCAGATCCAGCAAAAGGCTGGAACCCTCCCCAATCGATCTTCCTTCACCAAACACGCATGCCTCAGCTCTACCTGGTTCACTCATGAGTCTATAGCTCTGACGACTTTGGTGTCCCTTTTATGGAGCCCAGCAGGGCCAACCCTGAGTGGAATAAGCTGTCACCTCCACCTTGGTGGTGTACATGGGCCTTCTGTGAAGACCTGTTGGTGAGTTTCTGCTGGGCCTGTCCTGAAAACTGGCTTGGTTCAAGTCCTGCGAGGACTATTTCATTGCTTCCTCCCTCAAGAAGTCAAGAGAACAGAGGGCAAGGAGGACAGGATGGGGCAGGGGGCTTCAGTCCTCTCTGTTTCAAACTGGTGAGAAAGGTTCCAGGTGACTCCTTTCCCTGTGTCCTCCTGTCCCTGTGTCCTCCTGTCCCTGTGACTCCCCTGTCCCTGTGTCCTCCTGTCCCTGTGTCCTCCTGTCCCTGTGACTCCCCTGTCCCTGTGTCCTCCTGTCCCTGTGTCCTCCTGTCCCTGTGACTTTCCTATCCCTGTGACTCTCCTGTCCCTGTGTCCTCCTGTCCCTGTGTCCTCCTGTCCCTGTGACCTCCTGTCCCTGTGACCTCCTGTCCAGCCTCACAGGACATGCTGAAGTCCAAGTAGGACAAGCTACTCTTTATACAGCACACCTGGCTACTGGGAAGAGTCGGGAGCCCTCATACAGATTCACTTCCATCTCCTCCCTCCTTTCCATTTAGACCACTAGCTAAGCTTCATCTGCTGTTTCCCATCTTTGGGCCACCGGGGTCTCCAGCCCCCAGCTGGGTCCAGGCAGAGCAGGCATTTTCACACACAGGTCTGCAGCTTTCTTCCTGTCTATTTCATGATTAGCTCCCCTACCCCCATCCCCAGACCCTGGACCAATGTGCACATTTGAGAGTGGCAGGCTTTTATGGGTGTCAGAATTCCGTAGGGGTTTGTTTAAAATGTAGGTTCCTCATTCCAACTGTAGTGACCTGGTTCAGGGGACCTGGAGTGGACCCTAAGAGTCTCTATTATTAGTGGGCATCACAGGAAATCTTGAGTCCCAGAACCCAGAGAGCATACTCCCTCAAAAGTCTTCTCATGGGCCACTAAATCCAGAGGGGCTACACACCTCTGCCAGAAGGTTCAAACCTCCAGTTTCTTGCCCTCTCTGGGTTCTGTAGGCAAGCTAGATGGCCTCATAGGACCTGCAGCAGTCCCTATCCGGTGAACACCACTCTAAGGTGACAGTGTTAATAGGTCAGTGTTGATAGGCCATCCTCGTCATAGCTCTTCACGCGCAAACAGTGCTCTGACTTCAGGACTTTGCCATCTGCCACAGAGCCTATAAACACTTCTGTATTTCATCTTGACCACGTCTGTATTGTGGCTTACATGCCTGAGATAGAGATGGCAGCCGAGAAATGGCTATTCAGCTCAGCCCCGCAACACCTATGGGGCTTTTACCACATGTTTAGCCCACAAAGCTACACAGGTTGTTCTGCCCTCCAGGACTAAGGTGGGAGATAGACAATCTTGGGCGGGACTGACTGTGCCACAGAGAAGCACAGAGTCACAGAGGCCCTAGTGGGACTGGTCCCTGAACTCAAAGGGTGTTTAGAATTGGAGGTGACTTTCATGCATTCATGAATGGTGGCAAATGTAGCTAAGATTAGAGAGTGGGTGATCACACCCCGCTCCCAAGGACAGGACAGCTTTGCAAAGTCAGAGATTGGAGCCGGGGTTGTCAAAGAGCCTCAAAAGACAAGCAGTGTGGCTGGCAGTGGTGGCGCACACCTTTAATCCCAGCACTCGGGAGGCAGAGGCAGGCAGATCTAAGCTAGTTCGAAGCCAACCTGGTCTTCCAGAGCGAGTTCCAAGACAGCCAGGGCTACACAGAGAAGCCATGTCCCGAAAAAAAAACAAAGGAAAAAAGAAAACCTGCAATGGAAGTCAAGTACAGCGCTTCACACCTGTGACCCTAGCACTGGGGAGACTTTTGTCCCCAGGATTGCCACACGTTTCAGGCTAATTTGGACTACCATGTGGGACCCTGTCTCAAAATAAGATTAGCAGGGAAGGCAGACTCTGACAGGCTTGAATAGTTGTCAGAGGCATGTAACCTAGAGAGTGCAGGAGCCACCGAAGATTGATGAGGAAGAGAGTAACAGAGTCAGCACCTATTGGAAAGGAGACCCTGTTCTGCGACAGGGACAGGGAGAGATGAGTAAGTCACCCTTCATGTTCAGGGCCCAGGCCCCTAAGAACAAAGAATTAAGATCAGGTTTTGCTTCTGTTCTGATTTGTAGCTCAGGCTGGTCTTGGAATCTCAGTCCGCCTGCCTCAGCCTCCAGGGTGCTGGGACTACGGCTGTATACTACCTTATCCGACTCCCATCTGAACTCTCCAGGCAACACTAAATGCCACACTGCTGCCTCCCTCCCAGCCACGAGGCACTTCCAGCAGGTCATCAACCATAGGTTAAAGTCCATTGTCCTCCTCCCCCACCCCTACTCCGACTCTCTGTTCTGCAGGCCGGAGTTCTGGGTCCCTGATTAAACATTAGGACACTTGTTCTTTGCACACTGCTGCTTTAGAAGAGGGGCACCCTGCCCCCACACCCTCACTTTCAGCACCAGGCTTTGGGGGATGGGTGTGGAACTGAGTGCTGGGTGGGAGAAGAACCCAGGGTTGGTTGCCTTTCCAGTGGACGCAGCCAGCCTGAGGGTACCATGCAAATGGATGCAGGTGGTCATCAGAGGAGGACTGGGCCCTGCCTGCCCTGCAGTCTTGCAAATTTCAAATGTGACCCAACCTAACTGACACTGAAGCACCCTGTAAATAAAGTCACTCTAGAATATAGTCTATAGATGCTTATATTTTGTTAACATCAAAACTAATACAGCATGTGTTAGTTCACAAAAATGTGTGTACTGTGTGCAGATAATGTTATAAAGTGGTATTTAAATAAAATTCCAAGAGGTACCTATGGAGTTTGAGTCCTGTGTTGGGCAAATAAATACTTCAGCAACCATCTAGTAGAATGTTCCATGTCAGTTCTGTCATCCACACATGGTTACTGAGCACTCTAAACATGGCTAGTGGGACTGTAACTCCAATAATAAAAACCTGGGGACAGGACCTTAAAGCTGAAGATCAGAGAAGCAAAGCGGCCAGACACTGGAGAGTTCTCACCTCTACCAATGCTCAGACCCAAAGGGGTGATCCACTGGACCTCAGACTCCTCAGCTCTTGTCTCCTCCTGCCTCATATTCCTCTCTAGTGCTGGGATTAAAGGTGCAGGATCCCAAGTGCTAAGATCACCTTGTGTGAGCTCTGTTTCTCTTTTAGACTGGATAGTTTCGTGCAGCTCAGGGTGGCCTTGAACTAAGAGAGAAACATCTGCCTCTGTCTCCTGAGTGCTGGGATTAAAGGTGTGTACCACTGCTGCCTGACCTCTGTGCTAATTAGCGTGGCTACCTATGCACTCTGATCATCAGGCAAGCTTTGTTAGATCACAAAATATCACAACATGTAACTGAGGAACTAATGTTTTTTGTTTTGTTGTTTTTTGGTGTGTGTGTGTGTGTGTGTGTCCACATATGTGGAATCCAGAGGACTTCTGGGGTCAGATCTCTCCTTCCACCATTTATGTGGGTCCCTGGCATCAAGTTCAGGTAGACAGGCTCGAAGCAGGTATCTTTTTTTTTTTTTTTTTTTTTTTTTTGGTTTTACGAGACAGGGTTTCTCTGTTTTGGAGGCTGTCGGTCCAGCCTGGCCTTGAACTCACAGAGATCCACCTGCCTCTGCCTCCCGAGTGCTGGGATTAAAGGCGTGCGCCACCAACGCCCTATCTTGCTAACACCAGAGTATTCGATCACTGAGCTCCACCCCTGCATTAGTTACTTTCTTTTTTTTTTAAAGATTTTATTTATTCTATTATGAATACAACATCCTGCCTCTATGTATGTCTGCACGCCAGGAGAGGACACCAGATCTCATTATGAGATGGTTGTGAGCCACCATGTGGTTGCTGGGAATTGAACTCAGGACCTAGCAGTCAGTGCTCTTAACCTCTGAGCCATCTCTCCAGCCCACATTAGTTACTTTCTGTTGCTGTGATAAAACACTGTGGCCAATAGCAATGGATACAAGAAAGTTTATTTTGACTTATGGCTCCAGAGGGGTTAGAGTCCATCGTGGGGTGGGGGTGGGGGGACATGGCAGCAGGAGCAGGAAGCAGAGAAAGCAAACAGGTATAAAGCTCTTCTCCCAGGAAGCCACTACCGCCTGAAGTTTCCACAACCTCTAAACAGAACCCAACTGGGGACCAAGTGTTCAAATATCTGGGCCTATAAGGAAATTTCTGTCACATCATAACTCCCAAATCCCATACTTTGTCATATCATAATCTTTAATTTTGCTATAGAATAAAATTCAACTTTATTTAAACAATGATTATGTCTGGCACATCAACCCCAGAGTTCTGCTGTTGGTTTGTTGGTTGATTTGTTTAGTTTTTTTGAGAGACAGTTTCTCTGTGTAGTCCTGGCTGCCCTGGAACTAGTTCTGTAGACAAGACTGGCCTCGAACTCAGAGGTCCGCCTCCCTCTGCCTCCTGAGTTCTGGGAGTAAACGTGTGCCACCGCCACCCAGCTCTACTGTGGGTTATTAAATCTCAAAACACACCAAGCAGAAGGTTAGCTGGTAAATATACAGGAAATACAGGTCAAGAGACAGAATCCTCTTTCACGTTGTGATGTCAGGATGTGTTCATTCCTGGAACAGGCTGTTCTGTGAAGATGGGGGGGGAGGGTCAAGAGGTGTTGTTTTTGCATTCAGTACAGTGGCTGCACCACTTCTGTCACAAGAGACAAATGCAAGTCTGCAGCTATCCAGCCGCAGTTCAGCCACAAGCCGCAGCCAAGTAGGAAGGAATTCTGTTCCATCAGGCACGGGTTTTATCACGGCCACTAAAGGAAACTTTATCTAAAACTCTATCCTTCCATAGGTTGAGGTGAAATCCTGCTAGCTCAAAGAGGCTGAATAGCAAGTATCTAACCTCTCTTTGCTGTGTCTCCTGAGAAAAAGGAGCCACCCCACTCAGCCCCCACTTAAGAACGCTCCCTACACTTAGTTCCTCCCTACCACTTCCTGTCAGCTACTTGCTGACTCAGCCTCCCGACCCCAGGTTAATTTGATTTAATCAAACAAATGTAACACGTCTTTGCATCATTAACAAAGGCATCAGAAACAAATGTAACATGCCTTTACACAGTTAAAATAATATTCCACAACAGAGTGGCCCTGAGAACAATGCCTGTGCCTTCTCCAGGGAACCTAAGACAGAAGTCTTAGCGTTGCTCTCTAGAAATGTCCATGCCCTCCACTCTCAGGTTACTTTCTAGTTAGAAGCAAATAAAACCACAAAGCCCTTGTTTAAGTCTCCTGAGCTTCCTTGATCGTAATGCAGAAGCAGCAAAAATATAGCTGGGCTGTTATCCCCTGTGCCACACCCATTTGGGCACGGTAACAAGTACGTAGAACATGGGGGATAAAAGGCGGAGGAGACTCCGCTCTCTTTTGGGTTCCGGTTGCGTTCTGGTCGCCTCCTGTAAAGCAGTGTGGGAACCTTTGGTTCTCAGCTTTCTTAGCTTCTCATGTAAGTGATTTCACCCTTAATAAAATATCTTAGGACATCCCTATTTTGTGTAGCATAATATTTTAGCAATATAGGATCATTTTTTAAAAGACTTTTTTGGGACTGGAGAGATGACTCAGCAGTTAAGAATTGTCTGTTACTCCAGTTCCAGAGTATCTGATACCATCACACAGATATACATGCAGGTAAAACACCAATGCACTTAAAATAAAAATAAATAATCATTAAAAAATATAAGATTTTGTTTATGTTTTTATTACATATATGGTGTTTCACCTGTGTGTGTCAATGTGCACCACATGTGTGCAGTACCCTCAAGGGCCAGAAGAGGGCATTGGATTCCCTGAAACTGAAGTTAGAGGCAGTTGTGACCTGCCCTATAGGTGCTGTGAATTGAACAACTCGGGTCCTCTGGAAAACTAGCCAGTGCTCTGAACTCTTGAGCCATCTCTCCAGCCCCCAAAGTGGGATCTTAAACAGATGCTTGTACCAACAATAATCAAAAGCTGTGCATTGGCAATGTAGCTAAGTGACAGAAATCTTTTGCCCCCATGTCGTGAGCTGGAATCCAATCCCAGCATTACAAAACAGCCCAGGTGGATGAGGGGATGAGCAAAATGTACTACAGTGTACAATGAACTATTCAATGTACTACAGTGCACAATGAACTATTCAATGTACTACAGTGTACAATGAACTATTCAACCTGAACAAGAGGAGATTCTGGTGTGTGGTACAACACAATCATGAACTTGGGAGATACTATGCTAAATGACTAAGCAGGACATGGCTGGACATATATACGGTTCCGCGTGTATGAGGTCCCTTGGAGTGTTGATGTTCATAGAGGCAGAAAGTAGATGACAACTGGGCGAGGATAAAACTTGTTCTAGTTTCATTCTGTTGCTGTGATAAAACATTCTGGGCCACTAAGGGAAGGGAGGGGTTTGTTTCCTCCAACACTTCCAGTCCCAGTGGAGGAAGTCAGGGTGACTTCTTCCTGTTCCATGAATTACCTCCAATCAGAGAACTCGCAGCCAAAAAGAACAGCAGAGATTGTGGAGGATGCTGCTTGCTGGTTCTGTCCCAGCCTCATGCTTATCTAGCTTCTTCTACAGCCCAGGACCATTTACCTAGGAATAGTACCACCCACAGTGGGCTGGGCCTTCCTACACTCTTTGATAATCAAGATAATCCCCCACAGTCATGCCCACAGGCCAATCAAGTCTAAGCAATTCCTAGACTGAGGCTTCTTCTCAGATAACTCTATGTAGGAGACCCAGAGGTCTTCATGTTCACCAACAAGCTGATGGGACCAGGCTGGCCAGAAACTTCCACATTCACAAGCACTAGGAGAACCTAGAATACTGCCATACATGGTTGTTCCTTCAAGGGAAGGAATGCATAACTTGTTATCATCCCAGAAGACTGGAAGCAGATGTGTATTCCAACCTGGTGACCTTTACACCATCTGTGTGACTGGAGACCACACGAGACCCTCCCCAAGACCCTTATCATAGCTTGTTTTTCTTAGTCAATCATAGCTTGTTTTTCTTAGTCAATCTCCAGAACCTATCTTTATAGAAGATGTCTTGTGTACTTTACAAAGAGTTTCTTTATAAAGTCACATCCAATCTTTATTTAGCTTACTTGGTTCCTGGGACAGATTTATATGTGCTTTATTGTGCACACAGGATTGGGTTAATTATCACTAGAAAAGCTTTCACCAAACCATGCTGTGCCTAAATACGCCTAAAATAAACAACTTGGGATTAGACTCCCAAAGTTTGAACCAACACTGGCTAATTAGTTGCATTGAATCAAACTACCTTCTTGCCTCATGCAGATCATCACTCTGCTGGCTTTGGAGGTTGCAGAGACCCCACAACTCTAGTGTGTGTCAAACTGATAATTAAAACCAGCTATGAGACAACTCAATTCATAGAGCAATTGCACATGTAGCATGCACAGAGCCCTGAGTTCTATCCCTAGAAATACATAAACTAGGTGACTTAAAATACTTAAAGGTCAACTGGGCAGTGGTGGTGCATGCCTTTATCCCAGCACTCAGGAGACAGAGGCAGGCAGATCTCTGTGAGTTCAAGTCCAGCTTGGTATATACAGAGCTAGTTCTAGAACAGCCAGGGCTACACAGAGAAACCCTGCATGGAAAAAATAAAACCAAAATAAAACCTTAAAAGTCTTTAGGGCTGGAGTGCAGCTCAATGATAGAGCATACACAATGTCCTGGGTTCCATCCCCAGCACCAAAAACAAATAACAAAATAAAGAGGTAAATAAATATCCCTTCCAGTCCATCACCT